CGAGTGGGGTTGAGGGCGACGCAAATGGCGACGAGAGCGTACATCTGGTCGCTCTTCTTGGCGATGCTATCGTATTGAGCGTTCTTCTGGAAGTTCTTTGTGCGCGAAATGTAGATGAGAATGTGGGTGAACATGCGGATGGCGTCGGTGTAGCGGTGCATCATCATGTACGAGAAACCGACGTAGTAGTAGGTGCTGAACTGGGCGGCCATGACACGGGCGAACATGGACTTCTTGTTGAGCTCAATGTTGTCCAGAGTCTTGAGGGCCATGCTAAAGTCACCGAGCAGGCAGTGGACGCGGAGGAGACCGACGAGCGAGAAGTATCCGAGCATCTGGTAGAGAGGGCGGTTGCCATACTCGCCGGCGTAGGCGGCAGGGTCCTCACCGCGCTTGCGAGCCTCGAGCTGCTCCTGGATCTGACTGCGCTGGATAAGCGAGTACAGAACGTTGAGGACCGAGTAGCATCCCCATGTGTTGGGGTTCTCGCGGAGGATCTGGGCATCCTCATCGTTGTCCTGCTTGAGGGCAACCTTTTGGCGGTAGGCGCAGAAGCTGTTGAATTGGTAGATGAACTCGTCAATGACTTCCCAGGCCCAGTAGTACNNTGTATGTGGTCAGTCTTCTTTTCTTGTTGGACATGCAATTGCACGGCGTTGACACACGTTGGGGACCTCGAGGTCGACGGGGCCGTCAGAGTTGAGGATGAAGTGGAACAGGTTGCAGTAGCTGTCGTAGCTGGCAATCTTGGTCTCGAGGGTGGCGCCATATTCGAGAGGCTGGGCGGCGGCGGCGAGCTGGGCTTGGAGATCCTGAGGACCGCTGGATGCAACTCTCTCAAGTTCGTCGTCGTCTCCGTATTGAACCTGCTCCTTGTAGTCGCTGGCCAGAACCTCCTCCTCGACGTCCGAGTCGTCGTCGACCTGGCGCGCGGGCGCTCCCTGCTGGTATGTGGCTTCGATGTTGCGCACGCTCATCTTGACGGTGTGCTGTGTGCTGCGGTGCTGTATCTACCGACAATTGGTCTTGCGCGCGACGACGACAAGTTCTGGCTTCGTGCAACTTTTGCTCGCTAACGACGAGACGAGCTAGCCGATTATGGTAATAACAGTCGTAATTTACAGATGCAACCCTCACTAATTCTGGCGGGGCAGCACCCACTTTCATGCCATTCCATCATCGTCAGTCATTGCTCGACACATCTTTCTGCTCGCACGAGATTAGATCTTGTTGCTTTCTATCAGATTGAGAAGAGTATTCTGATCACTTTTCTCGGTATCATCTTCACCTCTATACCCAAATTCAGCGACCTGCCCGACTGTCATATCTGAACAGCTATCTTCAGCATAATCATGGCCCCCACCCACAAGATCGCAGTCATTCAGCTGCATCCCAAGGTACAACAGCTTCAATCGCTTGAAGCTACATTACTAACTCTGTCANAGCCTTTGCATGTCGAACAGAACTTCCAGAAAGCGGCCAACTTCATCAGATCAGCAGCCCAACAAGGTGCTCAGTTGGCAGTTCTACCTGAATATCATCTGACAAACTGGCTTCCGCACGATCCGAACTTCAAGTCTTCATGTGCAAGCTGGAAGGAATATCTCGAAAAGTACCAGGCCCTGGCTAAAGAGTGCAACATTTGCATCGTTCCTGGAACCATTGTAGAATTGCACACCGATGCCGAGCATGACAGCACTGGCATCCTCACCGAAGAGGATACCAACAGTGAGCGTCTTCTCAATGTTGCCTACTTCATCTCCAATACTGGAGAGATCCTTGGAAAATACGTTAAGAAGAATCTCTGGGGTGACATCGAACGCTTGCATCTTACAAGCTCATCGCGTGACCCTCATCCAGTCTTCGATACCCCCTTCGGAAAGGTCGGTATGCTGGTCTGTTGGGATCTTGCCTTCCCAGAAGCGTTCCGCGAGATGATCGCCCAAGGAGCGAAACTGTTCATCATTCCAACCTTCTGGACGTTGAACGATTGTTCGCCTGCTGGATTGGCCAGGAACCCCACTGCTGAAGCTACCTTCTTGGATTCAATGCTTACAGCTCGTTGCTTCGAGAACACATGTGCAATCGTGTTTGCAAACGCTGGAGGTCCACCAGGCAAAGGCTATGCTGGCTTGTCGCAAGTATGCGCGCCGTATGTAGGACCAATAGTCCGCTTGGGTAGTTGTGCGGAAGGTATGGCTGTAGTGGATCTCGACATGCAGATTGTCGAAGATGCAGAGGAGAATTACCAGGTCAGAGCCGATTTGGCAAGGGGAGATTGGCATTACGATTACCGTCACAGTAAGGACAATGACTCGAAGCTCTGATATATCTAAATACGTGTCTGGCGAACTACTCGCACCTTGCGAACGTCCTCAAATGTATACAACTTGAGGGTTCAGCTATCCCGAGTGCAGCCGTCCATGATGCACATTTGTTGGTCCGCACTAAGGACCAGATTGTTCTCGAATGTGTTCTCGTAAATGAAGCATTGTTGAGGTGAGGAAAGACTTCTTCACCCCTTCAAGCCTCTTGTCCCTCTCATTGACATCTGAGCTGGATCTTGCTCGGTCGGGTATTTGCCCTGGCAACCAGCGTCACCGCCTCATTGCCCCTTCCTTCCTTCCTTCCTTGCTGTTGCCTTAATCCTGACAAATGTCAACGCAACCAGATTCGAACATCACCAGCTTCGTCTCCTGTTCCCCATCCTTCCATCGAACCACACTATTGATCCTCCATCGCTATCGGCTTCATTCATCAATCCGCCTCGACCATGGTGCACAGCAAGCCACCCGACAGACCCACGATCTGGANGCACCTCCTCTCCCTCAGAACTCGGAGGCAAGCAAACAACGAGCCCGCAACTAAAATTCCAGGATTTGATCAATGGCACTCCCCAATGGAGCCCTCCAGCATCACTCGCGCTGCGCTCAGCCAATGCGTCTTTCTCGCCGGAATGGACAAGAGCGAGCAAAACTTTGCTTGGAAAGTGCTTCTATGCAAAGCACGCGGGTGCCGTTGTCACTGCTGATAACCTCGACAAATCGATCTTCACGACACTAAAGATCAAGGCCAACAAGAAACAACTACGCAAGCTGAGGCATGCCATATCGCAGCCAGTACAACCACCTTACCTTCGGGAAGTCATCTTTGACTGCAGCGCCATCAAGACCCTACAGGATGTCGATAACTTGAAGCATTGTCGTCCCTTGCTTGTTGAGATTCTCGAGTTGCTATATGACCAAACCGGGGACGCCGTTCACCCAATCAGAGATGCTTTGATTATCCTTCTGGAGGCCTTCCTATGTGCGCTGGACACTAAGCAACAAGTTTAGTGCACTTGGAACGCCGACGATCCCGTGCAAAGGTCGGAGGGGATGGAAGCCGGGTGTGCCTTAATATATGCAGGTATAGGCATTGGTTCTGCGACCAAAAATGTGCCTATGTTCGAAGTCTACTTTGATCATGGCCTGTCACTCGGTAAGTTGACTGTTACGGATTCAGGTCAGAAGACAGTTGAAACGACTTGGCTGTGCATCAACGAGGATAATCAGGGGTTTGCGCACCTGAAGATTGATGACTGGCCTGGACTGGTTCGAGATGGACTCAAATACAACCTGACTGTTTTCGAAGCCATGTTCATGACGACTGACCTGAGAGTCATCGAACTTGGAAACACAAAACTCTNNTTTCTTGGTGGTTTGCTCTCGCTCCTCGACCGCAACAGGGGGAAATTGGATGTCCTCAGACTCGTCAACGTCGATACCGATGGGGACAGCAATCCATAGTGGGATTTTTTGCTATGGCTCAGCCACAGTCTCGTACTGGATCACCTGGAGATTCAGGAGTGCAAGCTCCGTGGTCGCGCTATCGGGATACTTAATATCAAATTTGGCGATGAGTCGGCGTACGCGATGGGTCGGAGCGAGAGACAAAAGAATTTTGAGAAGGTCATGGATGAACTTTTGACCCGGTTATGCGTGCCTTCTTGTGCTCTGCAAGGACCTTTGAGGTGGTCTATCGTTGAGCCTCCCAAGACTCCACTTTGTCTGTGGCCACCTCGTTACCACGAGAAGCTCGAGACAGGCTCGCCTCAATTGCGGTCCAAGAAGTCGTGATATAGAAATTATGTCGACTCTATGCTTCAAGTCGTACGTGTGTAGACGCTCATTCGATAATTCAATACAGTCACGTCAATCTCTTGTTGAAGGTTTTTCGACACTTCGACTTTTCTGCGTTGCTTGATCATCTAGTATTCCGATCCTTGAAATTCGATAGTGCCATGTACCCATCGGTGGAGATAGCTGACGCTGTTTGCGACTGCCTAGATCAACCTCCTGATTGAGATAACGGCAGTAGGTGACAAAAGTAGGCAAATAAATACAGGAGTTGGCGTTTCAAGTCAAGACCCAGACGTTGCCGAAAGACATGCTTGATAATACGCGTCTAGACTGAAAGGTACGCGATGAAGGATTCAACGCCTCAGACAAAGCGTTTGAACGGTTGTCAATTTTGAACAACGTCGTCGGGCCTCCACATGCCTCGTTTGTTCGCAATACTTGCCACTGTTGACTCTAGATCCCTGACGCAGAGCTAACCGAGATGCGGTTGGTAGTAGACGGTGAGACAGGCCCTTATCGTATCGTCGCGACCACATGGCGACATACACCGCGCACACCCGAACTCTTGCGTATACGGTATAGCTGAGATGATAGTGTGGCCGTTGAGCCTCTTTGCTGGAGTATTGCTTATTCTTTCCTTTCCTCATCATGACAGTTTCTCGCTCTGGCTATAACCTCTTGAGACTTCAGCAGTTTTGAACTCTGTTTACCTCTCTTTGAACCTTCTTCTCCTCTTTCTTTACCTACTCGTTACTTGTGTCGCATCCACATTCCTTACCTTAGGGCTGATCTTCTGGGGAAGTTTTAATTCTACCTGTTTACACATACCACTCGTCGGCGATATTGATTTTGCTTCATACATACCTGGAGAAAGCAAGGATGGCGGCTTCTGCATATCACCTCAGGACGGACTATCTCAGCGAAGCTTTTGGAATCGACAACCCACGCCCAGAGTTTTCATGGAGACTGGAAGCTGCCGACCCATCCGACAAACACGCCGTAGTGTTTCAGAATGCCTACCGCGTGCAGGTTGCCCTACACGACACCTTCAAACCCACGAGCATTGTCTGGGACAGCGATATGGTGCGCTCACAGGATCAGTCTGGTATCATATATGCTGGAGGCTTGCTACAATCCATCACAAAGTACTATTGGCGGGTACAATTGTTTGATATGCATGATATGTGCAATGGATGGAGTAAGGCTGCGAGCTTTGAGACTGGCATAATGGATGCGAGGCTGTGGAAGGCCAACTGGATTACTGGACCTATTGAGGATACAGAGCACGCGATGTATTTCCGTGGTTGCTTGACTGTATCGACTGGTGTGCTCAAGGGCAGAGCGTTTGTCTCTGCTTTGGGTTGGTATAGGTTGCTCGTTAATGGCACCGACTTGACTGGAAACTGCTGTGTGCCGCGCTGGACGCCTTTGAATTCTGCAGTCGAATACCAGGACTATGATATCACGGAGCACCTAAGACCTGGATTAAACCACTTCAGTGTTGTGGTTGGAGATGGCCGCTGGAGAGGCAGTCTGGGACTCAGAGATACCAGAGCCAAACATCACGACCCTGTTGCAGCTTTTGTTCAAATTAACATCAATTTCAAGGACGGCAACAGGATTGCATACGGTAGTAGCGAAGAATGGCTCGCCGGCACAGGAGTCATCATCCGCTCGGACCCAAAACTAGGCGAAGAACACGATCTTCGCATCAGCAACGACGAATGGCTGGGTGTAGTAGCACCTACACCACCCACTGTCCAAGGCTCCCGCTGGACGCGAGCCCGCCTACTACCAACACCACAATCCCGCAAACTGATCGCCGAAGAAACGCCACGCACAAAAGAGATTGCACGACTACGACCGAAAGGCATCCTGCGCTCCCCCACCGGCAAGCAGATCTTCGACTTTGGCGAAAACATTGCTGGCTTCGTGGTTGCAAAGCTCAGGGGTAAGAGAGGCACTAAAGTCACCATCACGTATTCCGAATCGGTGGGTCCGGATGGGGAGCTGGATCTGGATTACGCTTTGCCCATTGATGGACAAGCCCAACGCGATTCGTGCATCTTGAGTGGAAAGGATACTTGGTTTCAACCTTGGTTCACTCGCCACGGGTTCCGATATGCCGAGATTGAGGGCTGTGAAGATGTGGGCTTCAATGACATCAAGGCCTTGATTGTGTCTGCAGACTTGCCCGAGACTGGAACATTCGCATGCTCGGACTGGAGACTAGAGAGATGGAGAGGAAATGCTTTGCGTTCCATGCGAGCCAATTTCGCGGATGTGATTACCGATTGCCCGACTAGAGAACGTCTTTGCTGGATGGGCGACTTGCAGGCCATCTCGCCCACGTCAACCATGTTCTTGGACACCCAGACGTATTTGAGGAGGACGTTGAGGAACATCTCTCTCGAGCAGTTGCCCGATGGCACGGTGCCGCCGTTCTTGCCTGGCGAGTGTGCGCAAGTCTACAAGGGTCTTTGGTGGCCAATGTCTCTGATCACGACCTCTGTGGGCTGGGGTGACGCTTGTGTATTGGTACCTTGGACACTATATCAATACTACGGCGACAAAGCAGTCCTGAAACGACAATACGCAAGCATGAAGAAGAAGATTGAGCAGCAAGGTAAGCCAGAAAACTCAGGTTCTCGTCTCATTACATGCAACTAACATTCTACTCAGNTTCGCGACGCACGTAACGGCCGCGGAGGCTATGGCAAGTACTTCAAAGGCGAGCGCAACGAACACGAACCCTACATCCTCGACAGCGACAAGATGTGGGGAGAATGGTTGGAGCCCGGCAGCGGCATGTGGGGACTCTTCAAATCACTCATGATCCCCAGTCCGAACACCGCAACGGCATACTTTGCACACAATGCCTCTGTACTTGCCAAAGCTGCCGAAGCTCTGGGATACACCCAAGATGCTGATCATTATCTGCAGCTTTCTGAGCGTGTAGGTGTGGCCTGGCGTGCTGCTTTTGTATACTCTGATGGCCGCATTGGTGATGACAAGCAAGATGATTATGTGCGAGCTCTGGCTTTCAATCTCATCCCTGCCTCTTCACGGCCCAGCACTATTACACGCTTGGTGGAGATCATCCACGACAGCAACTACCACTTTGGCACCACACTACTCAATACCGCCATGCTATTGACTGTCCTCAGCGACAACGGCAGAGCAGACATCGCCTACAAACTCCTCCTCAACAACCAACCCCACACCTTCCTCAACCAAATCGAAGCCGGCGCAACCACAATCTGGGAAACCTGGACTGGCTACGATGAAGCCGGCAGAGCTAAAGGATCTCACAATCATGTTGCTACAGGAGCTTGCACGCGCTGGCTGCAAGAAGGTATTGTAGGCATCACTCCCCTCGAACCCGGTTACCGCAAAATCAAGATTCGGCCTTTGTTAGGCGGAGGCTTAGATCATGCTTCTGGTGGCATAGAAACGCCATTTGGGCTTTGCAAAGCCACTTGGAGAGTCTTGGTTGCCACAGGCATGGTACAACTCTGCGTTACAATCCCTGCAGGCGCGTCTGGAGAGATTCACCTCGGAAACGGGCAAGTTCACGACGTACCCACCGGCACGCATTTCTTCGAATGGCAGGGTTCGAGTACAGAGCCTCCTGCTTCTTCTGCATCTTCTATCGTTTCTGTGGAGACGGTGGTGTTGGATAGAGCATCGGTCGCTAGTCCGCCACAAAGCCCTGGTGGCACGTTGATGCCGCACTCGAGATTGCCGAGTATGGTGTCTAGAGGGGGACGACTGTTGCCACCATCTGCGCACCAAGGACCTACGAAACTGCGTGTCGATAGTGTGAATTCGATAGCCAATGTGGGCAAGCCCACGCGGAGGAGTTTCCAGTTGCCGCGAAACGGGGGTGTAATGTCTTGGCCGCCTTTGGCTGCTACTTGAGATGTATGTTTCTTCTCTGTTCTTCTTTTCGAGTCTTGTTTGGATTTGGAATTCTAGGATGGGCTAAAAGGAAGTCATCGTATTCAAAACAGAAGAAAAAGGCAGCTGGACTCTGTCACTCATAGCTTTTGTCTCATGTATTCTCATAAGTATATATATATTTGAGTTTTAGTCTATTCTCGCCTCTGCATCATTCGACGTCTCTTCTTTGGTGACTGAGATCAAGACTTCTAGCACTAGTTAAGCAAAACATTAATACACTTGCATCACGACACTGCTTCATTGAATCATATCCATAGCTCTCAAGCGAAGAACTTCCTATCTCAGGACACAAATCATGCCTCTCAGACCTTCAACAACTCATGCCCCCCTGCATACTCTCCCAATGCCCCAATGCCCTCCAAAACAGGCACTTTCTTACCCTCAACCTCGATCCAACCATCAACACCTGCAGCATCGCCTTCATAGGCTGTATCCACCTCACCGCCTCTATCCAATAACACAGCATCCCAACCAGCATTTACAGCACCCTTTGCATCTTTACCAACTTCATCGCCTACATAGAGAAGCCCCCAGTCTTTTTCGTCGTAGGCGTTGCCCTCGGAAGCAAGTAAAGAAGCCAAAGTCTCGACTGCAGCGTCAAAGATTTGAGGCGACGGTTTCTCAACACCGACATCGTAGGACATGATGCAGAAATCTATATCCTGTTGATGCTGCTCATCTCCCGTCTCTGCTTTTTTATTGTCGCTGGTGGTGGACTTATACCGTAAACCATTTACACGTAAACCCAATGAGGTTAATACGTCAGGTACTCTGTCGTCGGAGTTTGTGATCATGCCGATGACTAGTCTGTTGTTGGCGGTCTTTTGGCGTTGAGGCGAGAGAGCGAGTTTTTGAAGGTAGGAGACGTCTGGGAAGAGGGTATAGCCGTCCTTGCACCAGAAACGATTTATTAGTGTTGAGGTTAGGGTGGTGGGTAGAGGGCCTTGGTGGTGAGGTGTGAAGGTTTTGTTGATGACNCTGAAGGGAGAAAAATGTCAGTATGGATGCCTCAGAAATATAGCGAGGAGACGAAAAACCTGAGGTCGTGGACTGAAATTGAAGTATTACCGCAGGAGAAAAAAGCAGACAGAGCAAGGAGAGGACGAGAGCGATCAGAGATTGAACAGAAAGAGAAAGAGTCAACATACCTCGGTCCACCACTGTCTCGCGCCCATATCTGTCTTTTTGCCATAATTCGGATACTTCTTCGAAGTCTCCTTGAATGCTGTTATTTATCAATCATTAGCCAGTTCACTTGTTCATGGCTTGCCACCTTTACTACCGTCCCCACTACTCTGCTATACCACTTCTCACCTGACGAAGTCAAACTCACCAGCCTTGAAACTCTTTGCAACTTCATCATCAGAAATCTTGACGCCCATACGCCTAGCCACACTACCATATTGCTCGGCAATGGGGCTGCGAGGACGGAACAAAGTCCCAAAGGCGTCAACGCAGAGTAAAAGATTGCGTTTCATTTCTGAGGAATCCTTTTCGGGTGTCTTTTCCATTCAAGCCCAGAGTCGCTGCTATTTCTTCTTAGAGGGACTTCTCCTGATGTGCAATTGTTTGCTGTAGCAAGCAGGAGGAGAAGGAAGTGGTTGGTGGTTGCATGTGCCAAGACTTGCCGCTTTTGGATTGGATTTTGCCCGTGAGTTTTGCTTCTTTCCTTGCTGTATCTATCAACGCGGCAGCTCTTTCTTCGCTGGCTTTTGTGGTCACAAGAACCCTTGTATCAAGAAACAGAGAAAGTCTCAAGGTCTTGGCCTTGTCTTGCCCGAATTTCATGAATCAAGATCGGCAAGATGTTGCGACAACTTGGCGTGCACTTCCCTAGGATACGATATCGGATGCGAAGGATTGATAGGCCAACACTAGTACAAAGCTAGGGCAAACACAACTACCAAAGCCCTCCATATATCTCGTGGTAGTTAAGAGAGACAGAGGCAAGCTATAAAGTTCAGTTGTTATTGTGCTTGTTCTACTTCTTCTGTTCAATCAACCTCTCAACCTCGCTCAATTGAGACAAACGCAGAATCTACATCAATTGTGTCCACAGAAGACAAGTGACGGCTCACCATCACACTCGAAAGACAAGCAAATCCCAAACATGAGACTCGACAAATTCCCAAAGGAACAACTCACCTTCGGCACACCCACGCCAATCCAGCACCTCCCCCGACTCTCCGCAGCTCTAGGCAACAAAGTCCAAATCTACGCAAAACGCGAAGACTGCAACTCGGGCCTCGCCTTCGGCGGCAACAAGACCAGAAAACTCGAATATGTGATTCCCGAAGCCATCTCCGGAGGTTACGACACCTTGGTTTCTATTGGTGGCGTGCAATCAAATCAGACTCGTCAGGTTGCTGCCGTGGCTGCAAAGCTGGGTATGAAGTGTGTGCTTGTGCAGGAGAACTGGGTCAATTATGATGATTCTGTGTATGACAGAGTTGGCAATATCGAGTTGAGTAGAATTCTGGGTGCAGATGTGCGACTCAATGAGGCTGGTTTCGATATTGGCATCAGACCTTCGTTCGAAGAAGCAATGCAAGAGATCAAGGCACAGGGTGGCAAGCCATATCCTATCCCCGCAGGATGTTCGGAGCACAAGTATGGAGGTCTTGGATTTGTGGCATTTGCACAGGAAGTCATGGAGCAGGAGAAACAGCTGGGTTTCAAGTTTGACTACATTGTTGTTTGTGCAGTCACCGGATCCACCCAGGCTGGCATGGTAGTTGGCTTTGCTTCCGATGGCAGAGCCAACAAAGTCATCGGCATCGACGCCTCTGCAAAGCCTGAAAAAACCCACGCACAGATTTTGCGCATCGCCCAAAACACTGCCGAACTTGTCGAACTGGGCCGGGAGATCACGGCTGAGGATGTTATCCTAGACACCAGATTTGGAGGGCCTGAGTATGGGTTGCCCAACAAGGGAACAATGGAAGCAATCAGACTGACTGCTAGGACTGAAGGTATGCTGACAGATCCAGTGTATGAAGGCAAGAGTATGGATGGCTTGATCCAGATGGTCAAGAAGGGCGAGTTCCCAGAAGGTAGCAAGGTTTTGTATGCGCATCTTGGCGGCGCACCTGCGCTGAGTGCATATGCTGGTATCTTCAAGCAGGGATAGAGTAATCAAGAATATGAGACTTCCTCGCAGAGGCCACAACTCTTCTCGGTCCATGACTAACTCCTGCTTTGGAATCTGGTGTCGTGAAACGTTCATTTCGGGCGCCTGAGATCTAGAATATCCTTGAGCTTGACCTGACCTTTTGCCCCNCAACCAGCACGGCCAGCTTCTACTTGTGGTCGCACCTTGACGTACCAGTTCCAGGCGCGCTTGTCCAGATCATCAGAGCTGAGGACGACAGACCATGATTCGAACAACAGATTTAGGGCTTTTACCAGATGTCCTAGATTCGCCTCACGCTCTGCAGCAATCTCAGCCGCTGGCCTCTTCTTTTTNGTCTCGGGTTTGTCGTCGTAGACAGAGTCAAAGGCTTTCACGATGTAATTGCGTGCAGAATCTGCGTGATATACTGTGAGCCCAGCTGTGCTTGCAGATACTGAAACGATCGGTGGACTATCCAAACGCTTAAGCTGCTCGAGGTCTAGCGCCAACAATGCGGGTGAATCCTCTGAAGACGAAGGGTCGTTATGACTAAGCCTGGAAGGTTTCTGATCAACATCTTCTGTTTTGATGTCCTTGGTGGTGTTTTTCGGATCTGCTTTCCATTCATAACCCCATCTTTTCAGCACGCGGACGTCTCTGGTCATGACTTTGACTAGAGACTGACCGTGGCCCCAGCCCTCCTTCTCAGCAGATGCAGTATTTGCAAGGCCGATATTGGCAGCTTTGGCTTGTGCATTGAGAGTAGTGACAGCTTGGGCAAGGCTGAGGCATGACGAGGGAGGCTGGTCTGGTATCGTATGCTTTACTAGGGTAGCAGCAAATGCCAGCAATAAAGGGGCACGATTGGTCGTAAGCACGATGGCTTCAAGATCTTCTTCGGTGAGATCAGACGTAGGAAGGACAAGAGCAGCTTCAACATCGGCAGGAGACTTGATCTCGGCAGGGTCAACTCTAGAACGTTTCGACGGTACTGAAGCAGTAGTTTCTGGAAGGCCTCTCTTGCGTTTGATGGAGACACGTTTTGCAGCAGCCAGGGTAGCCTTTGCAGCTTTTTCGGTGGCGGAAGCAGCTTTTAGAGTGTCAAAATCGGTTTTGGCAAGATCCTCGATGCTGTTGAAGCGTCAGGGCTGTACTTGCGGGACTCGAGCCGGCAGCCTGTGTCCGTGATGATCTTTTGAGACGATCAAGATGCGGATAGACAAGATGCGGATAGACAAGATGCGGATAGACAAGATGCGGATAGACAAGATGCGGGTAGACAAGATGCGGGTAGACAAGATGCGGGTAGACAAGATGCGGATAGACAAGATGCGGATAGGCAAGATGCGGATAGACAAGATGCGGGTAGACAAGATGCGGACAGACAAAGAGACGATTGTTGACAGAAGGAAGTGGTTGGCACCTACGTTACTAGATTCGCTTTCTGGAGGCCAGCGGCTTGTGCGATAGCGGCAGCCAACGGAAGTTTTGCCTCGGCCGTCAGAAAGCGTAACAAGTTGTTGGTGTCGGCCATGATGACTTGTTGTATGTGGTGATGACAAGGAGGCAAAGGGGAGGAATGAATGGTATAAAAAGGGAAGGCGCTACTCCACAATCGAGGCTTGACGCTTGGACCAAGGGTTCACGAGGGATCAAGAAGTTGAAAGAAGCAGCAATGCGCCAACTGCATCAACATATACACACACACCATGTCAGACAAGGGCATCCCGGACCTGTCATCCAAACTCAACGCGCCCAAGAAAGTGTCCGTTTTCGAAAAACAGCGACAAGAGGCCGAAGCCAAACGCATACGGGAAGAAGCCGAGAACAGAGCTGCCCTACGAGAGTTCGAGGACTCTTTCGCCGACGAGGATGAAGACGACTTTGTCGCACAAGTAGCTGCCGGCCGTAGCGCGTATGGCGGTTCAAGAGTCGCAGATGCAGGAGGCTATACCAGGGGAGCGCCCATGAGGAGCAGCGGACCAGGCACTCTCGGCCCACCACCAGGACCTGCCCCGCTATCCTTGAAGCGCAAGAGGGAGCTAGAACAAGAGCGGGAAAGAGAAAGGAGACAACGAGACAGCAGGGCGAGTCCAGAGACGGTGGTCAAGCGTCCCACCATGCTGCTGTCGTCACTACCACGCAACACGACCGAAACGACGATACGCAGCTGGCTGCCCAAGAACTTGAAGCTCGACGACATGGCCTTTGCTCCCTCGTCCACCGGCCGCTCCTTGACTGCTGTCATTGCTCTCACACCCGACACGGCCTCTAGTGACATCGACACCGCTGTCAACGCCCTCCAGCAGAGATACCTGGGCTTCGGCTGCTACCTCAACATCTCCAAACACATCACCATCTCCTCGTCCGTCAACTCGGTCCTCCATACTGCCACTTCGGCCATCCCAGTACAACCTTTTGGTGCCAAACAAATGCCTCGCGACCCTCTTCCCTCACACAGCTTCCGCAATGCTCCACCGCCAGAGTCTCTTCCACCACAACTACGCCATCAAGGTCCTGCTCCTCTGGTCGTCAATGTGACGCCGCCATCGGATCTCAAGCAGCTCGCCATCATCAACAAGACTGTCGAGACAATCATCACACACGGCCCAGAGTGGGAGTGTCTGCTCATGGCTCAGCCAGACGTCCAGCATGGAGAACACTGGGCTTGGTTGTTCGACAACACCAGTCAAGGTCATGTTTGGTACCGCTGGCTAGTCTATCAGTACTATGCCGCTCAACCACCTGCAAAGACTGGTCAAGACTCACATCAATGGTCCATGATGGACGAGCTTGCCCGTATGAATAACCATGTTCGTCCATTCGATGACGGGCCCTTCTGGATACCTCCACCAGAGAAACCCAGATACGAGCATGCTCAGAATCTGGCTGACCTCATGTCGGATTCTGGTTACGTCTCTTCAGATCTCGACACAGACGACGAAGACGATCACATTGTCCAAAATCAAGGTGTCGCTCCTGAGGATCCACACATCTCACGACCGCGCTACCTGAACCCTTACCGTAAAGCCAAGCTGACCTTCTTCCTAAATCACCTACCCGACAGCACTGGTTATCTCTGCGAAGGAGATGTGCAAGCAGTCACTGATCTTGTCATCAAATTCTCTGGTCAAGGTGCTGAAGAGGTTGTCGACATGCTTGTCTCAAACCTTGAGAATCCTTTCCGTTTCTCAGTAAATTACAAGATCGACCAGCCTCGACCTGAAAACGACGACGAAGAACATGAAGATGATGATATCTATGATCCTGAAGTCGATGGACCTAGAGCTTCTTTCGGAATGCTAGGCGGCAACGAAGATGCAGATGTTGAAGAGCCTGCATCGAAAGACACGTCTGAAATGCAAGTTGACCAGGATAATGACATCAAGCAAGAGCCCTCATCTGGAAAAGACATTTCTGGTGCGCAGCTGGTTGGTCTATATGTCATAAGCGACGCTCTGGCAGCCACATCAGTCTCTGGTGTGCGTGACGCATGGAAGTATCGATCGTTGTTCGAATCGGCTCTCACAAGTCGACAAGTATTTGAGAAGCTGGGTCGCATGCCCAAGCAATATGGATGGGGTCGTGTGCGTGGCGAGCAATGGAAGAGTCGCATCACAGTAGTCCTGGACTGCTGGGAGCGTGAGAGCATCTTCGCGCCAGAAAGTCATAGGAGGTTCAAAGAAGTGTTCTTGACTCCACCTTTGACCGATGCAGAGCAAAAGACCAAGGATGAGCAAGAGAAGCAAGATCGAGAAGAGGACCTGAAGAAGCGCTGGAAGAATGGCGAGGCTGAGAGTGCTGTTGCTGCACCAGAAGTCGTGGCTCAGGAAACGACACCACAACCGGCACAAGCTACACAGGTCCAACAGGCGGTCAAGCGCCAGCCGTCAAGACCCTCAGCGGCAGACCTCATCCTCGCTACTGCAGATGGTGAAGCACCACCACCGAAACCAGCACCCAAGCTGTCAAACTTTTCCATATCGCTCAATGCAGCGCCTACTGCTTCACCACCTGTCGAAGACACAGGGAGAGCTTCACCCGCGATGAACTTCTCACTCGCTGGAAGCAATGCATCTTCGAGTAAGTTCTCGTTGGGTGCGAAGCCTTCGAGCGAACCTGTGAAGGAGAAGAAACGAGAGAGCTTGGCAGTGTTCGACGACTCGGACTCGGAGTAGAGCGTGTAGATGATGAAAATAGCACGAATCACACGCAGCTTCTCTCTCAGACACTACTGTCAGGTGTATAGCTAGCTTGAGAAAGTCAAGACGCGCCTTGCAAGGAGAGGGTCGGAGAAAAGGCGCGTTGCCCGATTGGGGAGACACCTCGGCAAGACAGCCGATGACATATGCGGGGAGGAGCTTCACTGCCGTCCACCTTGATCTGTAACGACAACATTTTCCACTTCCTTCCATTCTACAGCCAATTGAGCTTCCAACAATCCCACAATGCAGAGTCTACGAGTAGCCAGACCCTTTCCTTCTCGCTTTGTCAAGACGGTGGCCCCTCGGATCCAACGCCCATACTCTACACCCTCGGCCGAACACAGCTATGAGCACATTCAACTCAGCACTCCCCGTCCCGGTGTCGCTCTGAGTATGCCTTTCTTCCTCTCCATATACCACTCTCTTCATCCACAGCTGACAACGCGCACCANNGTCACGCTCAACAGACCCAAAGCCCTCAACGCCCTCTTCTCCCCTCTGATCAATGAACTCAACACCTGCACTTCCCTCCTCGACAAAGACCCTTCCATCGCCGCCATCGTCCTCACCGGCTCCCCCAAAGCCTTTGCCGCCGGCGCCGACATTAAAGAAATGGCCCCCAAATCTTTTGCCGACGCTTACGGTGCAGACTTTATCGAATCCTGGTCCAACCTCACACACATCAAGAAACCTGTCATCGGTGCTGTGAATGGGTATGCGCTGGGCGGCGGCTGTGAGTTGGCCATGATGTGCGACATCCTATACGCATCCAAGTCTGCAACTTTCGGCCAGCCGGAAATCAAACTGGGGATTCTTCCCGGCGCGNGGGGCACACAGCGACTCACCCGCGCGGTCGGCAAAGCAAAAGCCATGGAAATCATCCTCACGGGTGAAAACTTTTCGGGCGAAAAGGCCGAGCAGTGGGGGTTGGTTGCCAAATGCTTTGACACTGCGGAAGCTTGTGTGGAAGGTGCGCTGGACACGGCGGCAAAGATTGCTGGATACTCCAAGATTGCCGTCAAAGCTTGCAAGGAGGCTGTCAACAAGAGTCAGGATCTGGGCATCAGGGAGGGTGTCGAGTATGAGAGGAGACTGTTCCATGGCCTCTTCGGCAGCCAGGATCAAAAGATCGGTATGAATGCGTTTGCGAATAAGAAGAAGGCCGAGTGGACGCATTCGTAGATATGATTGAAAGGCTGAGTGGACTGTGGAATTGTCTAGTCCCCCTCTGGTCTCCGGACTCTGAGTTGAAAATTCATCATCCTTTGACAGTCGAAGCATTCACCATCGTAACAGCACAAACCCGCAAGGGGATCTATATGTCTCTGTTAGAATGACATGAGCAATAGTACACGCAAGTTGCGAACAAGCGTCGTTCACCGCCTCTTCCAATCAATGTCCAACACTTTGTAATTTAAGGCGCTGTTCAACTAGGTGATGATCATGTTCATCATGTGTAAAGGTGCGTTTTTTATTTGCTAGATATACGACTCTTCACCTCTTCCTGCTGAGCTACAGAGTTCATCTGACTCACATCTTCCACACTCGTACACCTGCTCCCTCGATATCTGTACTGTTTCCTCCCAACACTACTTTTCCGTTCACCAAAGGTACTTTTATATCTTCAGCTCCATAGTTGAACGCCCACACCAGTCCACCTCGTTCAAGCACTCTCAAATTACCTCCCAGATCGTTCTCCTTGCTTACGTCTCTACCAAACACATCTTTGACACCCGCTGCTTTCGCCGCATCGCCGATATAAGCGACAAGCAGATCGACTGGTGGGTTGAAGGCCAAGTAGTGGAAGTCATTCTTCGCGCAAGCAGCAGGTTTTCCCTTCCTGTGCTGGGATGTTGCGGTAATGGCAACATCACTACTCGCGTTGTCTCTGCTGCAGACAATGTTTTCCTCCCACAAGGAGATATTGTAGGTGGTTTCTGCATAAGACACACCACTCTTGGCATAGGAAGGCGGTGTCTCTACTCTTGTCACCTTCATGGGTAACCTGTCGCGGATTGTACCAGCTGAAGGGTTGAGACCAGGTGGGTAAGCAAACTCGGGGGTTCGAGAGCCAGTATGTGGACCAAAGATCACAGTGCCGTTGTAGCTTGACAGTGCGGTATTGAAGGCAGTAGGGATGATTGGTAGACTAGGTACAATCACCATATTGTACTTGCTCAAGTCTTGCTCGGGAGATATGATGTCAACATCGAGACCCAAGCGGCGTAGAGAAGTGTAAAAGGACGAAACTACATCCAGGTAGGCCAGTCCGATGTTGTCAAACCCTGAATCGTGTGGCGAGTAGGATCCGGAATATGGCTCAATATTCCAGACCCAGACAGAGGTGTAGTCAAAGATCAATGCTACGCTTGCCTGTGTGTCTTCGGTATCCATGGCTGCCCGGAGTGCAGGGAGGTCCTCCGAAGCCACCATCTGAGTCTCGTGAAATCCTTCGTCAGGGGTATTGTCAGACACGAAGAGTCCAGACAGCGTCTGTTCCTGGGCGTACGGAACCTGTCTCCAGCGGAAATAATTCACCAAATCTCCTCCAGAAGCAAATGTCTCGAGCGTCCAGAGACGTACCATGCCCTCCAATGGAGAGACACGGTACGTATTCCAGTTCAGTACACCAGGCTGCATCTCCATGACACCGAATGGTCCATTATCGGTACCATAAGCAGAGCCAGCGATGCCTCGGTAACGTGCGTGTTGCAAGGCTTGTAAGTCAGGCAGTCCAGTACGCAGATACTCGGCACCTTCCGACACACCAGCAAGGGGATAATTGTCGAAAGTAGCAAAATCAAGCCCAACTTCGCGGTTGAACTTGAAATGGTCAAAGTCCGTGAATTGAACCATAAAATTGGTGGTTACGGCATGGTTTGGAGCATGTTTTCTGATGATGGCGGTCTGTTCTTTGGCGAAATCAATGACCATGTCGGAGCTGAACGTATACCAATCTAGCAGTTGAGCTTGATTGGGCATGTAAACATTCAGGAATGGAGGCTGAACAGTATCGAAACTGACGTATTGAGAACTCCAGAAGACACGCCCTTGAGCTTCGTTCATGTTTTCGATGGTGCCGTACTTCTCCTTCAGCCAGGTCCTGAACCTTGTGATAGCGTTGTGATCATACGAGCGAACTGTGTCATGGCAGCCAAACTCGTTGTCAAGTTGCCAGGCAACAATGTTCGAGTTGTTGCCATATCTCTCGGCAAGCTTTTGTGTAATGCCTTGACTGAGTTTCCTGTAATCAAACGAAGAGAAGCTGTAATGTCTCCGGGAACCAAAGATGAGGGTCTGGTTTGTGCGATCCACAAAATTGACGTCGTACTTCTCGGTCAGCCAGTTGGGAGGAGCTGCAGTGGGCGTGCCCACAATGGCCTTGAGGCCGTATTTGCCCAACAAGTCTAGGGTTGTGTCCAACAAAGTCCAGTTGTATAAACCTTCCGAGGGCTCCAGAACTTCCCAGTCAAATTCACTCACACGGACATAGCTGATTCTGGCATCTCTCATGGCAGCCATATCTGGCTCCCACATGTAGTCCGGCCATTGGGAAGGATAATAGTCGACAGCGAGGTGGAGTCCGCTTGGCCATCGGCTCTGGTTAGGAGCAAACGAGATATTGTATGCCCGTGGAACGAATCGAGTAGTAGCACTCAGGGCTACTTGCGCTAGCAATGGGACCAGAACAGTGGATGCGTACATGATGATTTGCCTGGCTGGTAGGGTTTTAACAGTGCTGTGTTCAGCGGCTTCATAATGTATTTATACCTATTCTTGCACTCCCGATCATGAACTTAGTGCACCTTCGCTTGGCTTGAGGATGATCGTTCCTTGATGATCACAGCGGAGGTCCTCCGAGGGTGGGGATGGTGGGGTCTGTATGAGGGAGAGAGTGGAGTGCGCCGGCTGATTGTAGATCTCGGGTTATAACCATGCGAGGTCGCCTTCGTGATAGGATGCAGGAGGTTGGGCTTGGAGTTGATGGAGTGCTCAGAAGCTCGAATGGGTATGTTATTAGGATGCCAGTTTGTCTGGTTGAAAGTTGATTTTGTAGTCGGGTTCCATCACTCCTTCCATCGATGGTCATGTTGTCAAGATCGATCGGGAGAAAGCATGCCGAAACTTTGTGGAAAGAGCGGTGCTGAACCTCGAGCTTTCCTTCAACTTCGATTCGGAGATGGGTCAGGATCGTGATTCGTATATTACATTCATCCATGCCACCGTCACATCTCGACTTCCCAAATATCATTATGCACCTTCCTCCGCTCTTGTCGGCGCCCAATTACCAAGCCACTCTCTCGCTTTGTCCGCCTGTCCATTCTCTGCCTCCAGAGCACCGATGCACCAAGGTCGAGAATACATTTCACCCTTCATGCCATGCTCTTCCTTCATCAGTTCAGCTAGAGTCCTTCTAGTCTGACTAGCTTCGTCGACACAAAAGTGCAATGGCTTGGCTTCAGCAGGCAGAATACTAGCATCCACGAACGGCTTGATCATCGGCAGAGCATCCTTCGTACTCATCGCACCGCCTTCGCCAGAGTTTGTTCGTCCGGTCTTGCAGAATGTGTTGCGGCACCAAGGCTTGCCACAACCGGTCAAAAGCTGGGTCAGGTATCGTCGCTCGATCCTTCGCTTTAGAGCCTTGTTTTCTGGATCGTAGTTACTGACGTACAATGGTCCGAAACACGCTGCGCATAAGCCTATGTCATTGCCCGTGTCTCTGACGGCTGCTCTGGTGTTGCCATCGTGAGAAGTGCCGTCTATCGTACGGCCACAGACGGCATTACGACAGATCCGAGGCTGAGAGCGAGACTTGCGGGTCAGATCATGATGCTTGAGATGTGTATCCATATCTCGCAGACGCACAATTCTTGAGCAGAGGTGGCATTCTGTTGTCCTGCTACCATCGGCCAACTCATGTGGCGTAAGGCCTGAAAGCAATGCTTCGGGGTTTGGCACATCAGGGTCACCTTCCTGTGGTACCGACAAGTGACAGAAGCGACAAAGAATCGGTTTTGAGGGGCATACGGAGGTCTTGTGGTACGCGAGCTGAGGGAGAGAAGAAAATGTGGTGGCTGTGCTGCATGACTGGCAAGCGAACGGTGATGAGGGATGGAAGAGGTGACTGTGTTTTTGCTGGGAAACAATGCTGTTGCCGTAGAAGGTATCGTGTGGACAATGCCAGTGCTTCTTATATGCTGGAGAGCGCTTCTGGAAGACTTGACCACAGCCCTGAGGACAGAGGATGTTGTTGCGCAAACAGAAGTTCTCGTGAAGCATGAGTGTTCGTTGAGGAACCCATTGACCGCAGTTCTTGCAACGAACGTCTTCCGGATTTGGTGGCTGCTCCGAGTTCCCATTTGATTCGGAAGATTGCGAGTCTCCTACCTTGACACGCAGAGTGAACTGACGAGGTTTTGCAGAACTCTGATCGTGTTCGCCGCGGAAAGCATGAACAGATATCCACAAAGCCTCTGCATCTTCGAGCTCAACGTTCGAGGATTCTAAACGAATTCCCTTCGCCTGTCGCCCACTAAAGTCACCAAAGACGTGTTCATCGATGCGAGGTCTGTTCCTTTGACGTGCAGAGAAGGGCGACACCAAGAGATCGACATCGTCGTCCAGATCTGCGCCTTCGACCTCGATCTCGAGCGGCTGGGCCCTTGGCCATGATGGCAGCTGATAGTCGATGTAGTCTCCTGGCGCGATCTGACCCTGCTGAGCGTTGAAGACGTCCAGGTCGCCTCCAGTGGAACTGCCTTCTCCGCCTCGCTGATTCTTTTGTATCTTTTGAGCGATCTTGGCCAGTGTCTCTCTTGCTTGCTCTTCGTTCAGGGCTTCGATGTCGACCTCGAGATCGGTATCCACGACACATACGGCATCTGACTCTGGTTGGAACGAGGCAACGAGAAAGCGGAACTCTTCTCGTGCGGGACCAGGCACAACCAGAACTTCACCACGAGTCAAGGTGGTGTAGTTTGAGCGCAGGTGTTGTTCTAGCAAGGCTTTCCAGTCGTCGGGATCATAGCCAGCCTCGAGTGGCCGTAGCTTAACAAAGGTGCCCTTTGGTATTTGTCGTGCGTGTATCGTGACTTGTGCTCCATCGTCTTTCAGGTCCAACGCTTGGCTGAGAAAAGTACTGAGCGTAGCGCATCCTTCTTCGGCCGAGAACTCGCGGATGCCTGCATAGACGACCCGGCCATTGGTTGCGTTGACCAGACGGAAGGTAAGAGGATGCGGTAGTTGATTCTTGGGTTCGTCGAAACGGTTTTGGGACGGTCGTGAGCCGGCGTAGTACGAAGAGTAGGTATGAAAGTCGTTTTCGGGTTGTTCTGTGGCGGCGGCAGCTGTTGAGGCAGCCGAGAGTAGTTGTTCAAGGGCAGATTGAGGCAAGACGATCTTGTCTCCAGCCAAGTTGCTCGCAGCAGACGCTATGAACTGTCCTGACCACTGCAATTCGTTACTCATGATTCAAAGTGACCGACTCCAAGAAGGCGACGCGCGAGGACATAATCAACTCCGAGCAATGACTGTTCTAGAAGTTGCTATCGCGTGCGTGCATATGTCATCAACAACTTGCGGCGATTCTCGGGGAAGAGATAAGATCATCTCGAATTGCTTCTTTCGGCCCGCAGGCCGTAGCACCCTGACCTACGCTCATCACATCTTCTTTCTTGACACTTCTTCACTTTGTGGCCATCATACTGGCCCAAACGTTCCCTGGAGATGGAGGCAAGTGTTCTAAGCTGTTTTTCAAGTCACAACTCTTGATCAGAGGTCTGTAGTTACGGGAAAACTACCTCGGTGTCTCTTCGCTGTTTACGACGCGTGCGAAACACAGCAGAACAGGACGAATCGATTGTTCGATCTTTCGAAACACAGTTTCTTGTGGCGGACCTCACGAAGTACAGAGAAAATCGACCGTACAATAGAAGTAGTCGTCATTGGACTCGACTGTCAGCTGAACCTAGTAGAAGCATATAAGCACCCAAACAATCGTGGCGTCCGCAATTCGCGACCAGAAAGGCATCCACTTTTTGAACATGAGACGCACGTAACAAGATTACGAATCTCTCAGCATGCAAAGCTTGTCCTGCCTCATTTGCTTGTCTCGAAGCTTGTTTATCTATATTCTGCTGATAGGTCCTCCTATCACCTCGATGAGAGACAAAATGCATTCGACATATCGAATTGTCGTGGTCGCCCTAGCATTGATGACCATTGCCTGCTTCTACTATCAAATATCGGATGTTCCTCACCTTAGCAGCATACTACTCGACACATCACACGAGGAAAGCCATGCCTCGACCCTAGTTACATCCGAAGACGATTCCTCCAGTCGATCAGCTCCTGGATTCCATATTTCTCACACGAACGATGTAACAAAAACCTCTCATCCTACTATAGACGACGCGTCAACTACGGAGGACAACCATACTGAACTGCCAAATGACAAGGCCGTGGTGATGGGTGCTCTCTTAACTGACGACGTAGCATGGGCGACGACCAAACTCCACGGATGGGACGCTTTCGTGTATACTGTCGACAACAATACTACCATGCCGCTCCACACGGATCGCAACAAGGGCAGAGAAGCAAATGCTTACTTGACTTACATTATCGAAAACTACGGCTCGCTTCCCTCGACAGTCGCATTCGTACACTCACATGAGTTTGGCTGGTTGAAGGCGTGGCATACAGACGCTAAGCGCCACTCCAACGTCGAGAGCCTAAACTCTTTGAATACCAAATTCGTTCAGAGGAATGGTTATGCAAATCTGAGATGCTTGCCCAATCCTGGCTGTCCAGATGAAGTACAACCATTCCGAGAGCCTGTGGACGAGAGCAAGACAACCGAAGCAGTATTCGCTTCTGCTTGGAGAGATATTTTCAACAATGACGATATTCCAGAAGTCGTTGGTGTAGCTTGTTGTGCCCAGTTCGCCGTATCAAGGCAACAAATACTCAAAAGGACCAGAGAAGAATATCTTCGCATGCACAACTGGCTGATGGGAACCGAGTTGGACGACCAGACCTCAGGACGGATATTCGAGTATCTATGGCATATTATGTTCGGCCAGGAGTCTGTCNTAGTAGGTGTTCCGAAGCTGCAAATACGATTCTCGAGCTGACAGGATGATAGTTGTCCCAGCTTAGGACAGTGTTATCGAGACGTGTACGGTTCTGAATGATCCCGGTCTGCTGTCTTTTGGCTTGTGGTTCATCACATAGAGGAAGACTGGTCCTGACCAGTCAGTCTGACAGAAAGCCGCCGGGACGCACGCAGCTGAGGAAGGACAAGCCACGGCGCTCTGCAGCATCGCACCAGCTACACCAATATGGTGGGGTGCATGGTGGTGCAGACTAGAATTGACATCACATGTGGCAATGGTTTCAAGCAGCTCGCTACCGCCGGTCTCGGTGTCACGAGTCTTGTTCAGTCAAGCCATCGTGCACCGCCGCGGCGAGTCTCTTGTTGAGAAGAGAACTACTTCAGAGCATCGTTCTGCGAAAATAGATAGAGTCGTCAGGTTGCCAAAGGATCGTGTATCGGCTGCTTCGGGTGCCTGCCAAGCTGCGCTTCGCGAGTCGCGCTTTCTTGCATCCTTCTCGCTCGTGTCGCGTGTTTCTATCTTGGGGTCCGTCTCTATTCTTGCATTTCTCGTGAACATCACTCGTACAAGGTCACCATTCAGAACACGATTCTGATAGCGATGGCAATGGCAGTGCACAGGGGCGAGAGAAAAAGATGCGTCATAATCAACACGGTTGGTTGCAACAGACAACCGGCGCGAACGCTGTTGTCAGAGGAGCGAACCCCCACACGCAAAGGAGAAAAGCAACTTGCCAAGCTCCCTGCTGACTGTTTGTTGTCTTTGCTATTTCCCTGCACCGTTTTTTCACACACAACGGTGCAATGCGTTGAGAAAACGGATTCGCAATCTGTGCCGGAGACAAGAACGTCGACCGCAGAACCGCCAGCAGAGTTCCAGCAAAGAAGTGGTCACAATATTGGAAACTCGAGGAAAACAAGAACTGAGGCTGTCGGGAGCAATGACTCGAGTGTTGCTGTCAACAGAAAAAACACGCAAGCCCTAGCGAAAGAACCTGGGGCATGAGGCTGGGAACCCACTCCTGAGCTAGCGATAGCATGTCCTGAGACTAGCTTGAGCGTCTTGCATGTCTACATGCAAGGCACAGAAGTCTGTTTTCGCTGCTCATCTCCTGAACACTCGCAAGATTCGATCACAAAATACGAAACAACGAGACGAGAACTCATTTGCAAACGGTCTAACTTTGTGGTCATGTTGTTGGTGAAGAAGCACGTCTCCAAGGCTCGTTATCGATCTTATACGAGAAGAATCGCCCAAGGACGAATCCTCCGTCCGTGCGATGTTCTATTTCGAAACTCAAGCATCCATATTTTTTACCTGATCTATTCAACAGCTCCAAGCTCGTCTAGCGCTGGTACGAGATGGATGCTGTAAAGTTGGGAATAACCGGGGCCTTGGTGTGCGTGGTGTGCATGGCGTGCAGCTGGATGAGGCTTCCGTGGTTCCTCCCATGCACATAATCAGCCATTGGTGGCAGGAAATAATATAGCTATCCCTATATCCCCCGCCATCGTTTTCCTTGTTACTTTCTGCTGCATCCCCCATATTAAGAAGACTTTGATACCCCTGTGTTTTCTTCTTCTCTTGCATCCTTCTCTTGCATCTCGCCTTCTACCACCTCGAACCCCCCTATCACAGCATAACGCAAATATGAGATACACCACAGCTCTTCTCTCTCTGGCTGCCCTTGCCGCTGCTCAGGACTGTGTCTCGAGCTACGAGTCGTGCCTTCTCACCAAGGACGAGCCCACCTGCAACTCCGAACTTACTTCGTGCAAGGATGTCTGCGGCAAGGACTTGGACCAGTGCAACCAGAGCAATGCCGGCTCTGCCACCTGCCAGAAGAACTACAACTCATGCTTGAACACCTTCCCCATCATCCCCGGCGGTTCGGACTGTGTTGCCAAGTTCATCAAGTGTGGTGAATCAGGTCAATCCTCCGAGAGCTGCAATGCCCAGAACGCCGTCTGCAAGTAAGTTAATATCCAGATGACTAATATGTTTGAATCGCATACTAATAACATAAAAAGGGACTCTTGCACAAACATCAACTCTGCCTGCCTTTCTTCCGGCTCCGCTGATGTTGCCGCTTGCACCAAGCAATACAACGCCTGCTACTACTCCTCCTCGGACGCCATCACCCTCGACACCGTCGCCAAGTACCAAAACTGCCTCAACGCCGGCACCAACGTGACTGCCTGCAACGCCGAACTCACCAACTTCAAGGACGCCTGCACAACCATCCAGGCCACCTGCCTCGTTTCCGGATCCGCCGACGCTGCCTTCTGCTCCTCGCTCACCGCCGCCTGCTACTACAACGGCAGCAAGTGGACCCGCGAGTCCTGCTCTGCCGCTTTCACCGCCTGCACTGCCAGTGACTCTGAGTGCCGTGCCGAGTTGACCATGTGCAAGGACACCTGCACAAACGCCGAGGCTTCGTGCCGCACTGCCCAAAACGCTGATGCTTCTGCTTGTGCTGCCGTCCGCAGCTCGTGCCAGGGCTCTGCCAACGACCCCATCACCGACCCTAACGTTCTTTCCGCTGCCTCTGCCTCTGCTTCCAAGACTTTGAGCTCTGTTGTTGCCGCCAGCACTGGTGGTTACACTTACAGCAACGGCACTGTCGGTGGCAAGAACGCTACTTCGACTTACACTCCTCTTGCCTACACTGGTGCTGCCTCCAAGGCTGGTGTCTCGGCCGCTCTTGCCGGTGTTTTCGGTGTTGCCGCTTACCTTTTGTAAGTCCTCTATTTCTGAGGCTTGAGGTAGAGATTTGTATGAAAGTATCATAGACAAAGTTGTCATCTGCATGTATGGAGTATGGGAATGATAGAATGAGGCGAACGGTCATGAATGAGCAAAGACCGATTAATGTATATTCACGCTCTGGGACAGAAATCAAAAACAAAACCAATTTATAATCAACCATTCTGTCTGCTTGTTTTTCACTATGAATGAGCGCCCCGCTGTTCCTTCGTGTGAACACTTGTTGAGCAAGAAGCAGGGCATCGAGGAAAGCTGATAAGCAAGTAACCAATATCGATGACGCTTTAGCTTCTTTCAGTTTGTTTCACAGAAGCTGAGAGAGTTGTCTCTTCTAGAGCCCCTGATTCGAGAACTCTCTGTTCACCATCTTCGCCATCCAATATCCAGTGACCCAGCAAGGCCTTCTCCGACAGCGGGTCTCTAAGAAAGTCGGCCGCGATGGGCTTCGTCGTCAATCCAACGAACTCCTCCGCCAGCCCAGTAGTCGTGTTTACGCTCTTTCTGTAGAGGCCAGACGATGAACATCTCCAGACTGAAGAAGCGCGTTTTGTGCTGGTGAAGCGGTCCAAGTTATTGCTGGAGACTGACAATGATGTGTGGAAGCTGTTGTACGTCAAGACAGCCGTGGTCAGCCAGAAGACTTGACACAGTCTTATCGTCGTTCCATGGGCTTCGTGTGCACATCGAGGAACCAGTAGGGCTCGTTTGACCATGCGAATATTGAGCATGACATTCGCCATGGACAGGATAGTAACAGCATCGCAAAGCGTCTTCAAGAGTCGATACATTGGAAATGTGCTGCTTCAGAAGGCCTCGTAAAGCTGCTTGCACACCGTTGATCAACCTTCTTCTGTATTGCTTTGGTCGTCATGATTCTTGTTCTCGTTTATCTGTTGCGGTCCAAACGCTTTCTCGATGAAGAAGTCGTAACTATGTGCCGGTCCGTTGACAGCCTGGAGATACCTTTTGCCGTGGCGATCCAGACGGGCTTTACTGACATCTTTTGCTGTGGGATGATGTCCATATATGGCCTCGAATCGCTCGCAGCGCTCCGTGTAGTCGCACTGTATCTCGACGTGATCCCGTTCCGCCTGGGCAAAGTTCTTATGAACATCCTCGAGAATGTTGTTGCGTGTTTCAAGTTGCGCATCGCTGAGAAGATGGTCTCCAGTAGATTCACCGTCTGGATAAAAGAGCTGCTCATACAAGTTCAAGGCTTGTTCGGCATGCCAGCTGCATCGGCCGTCAGTATGAAATCGACACAATCGTGGGCTTGACGTACAGAAAATCTGTGTCGCCGAGCGATAGGATACGATGACATCCTGCCTTGTGGAAGATGCTAAGGTCAGTATAGCTCAAGAGCAGACGGCAAAGACCCTCGCTCTCTTCATACTCCTCCGCATCAAAGCTGTCGCTAGCTTTCTTGAACAGACTCCTGAATACATACTCGCGAGCGCTTGTCTCGTACCCAGCTAACATTGTTGAAGGATCTTGCAAACTGAAATCTCACCACAGTGTGAGAAAATGAAACCACGACTTGCAGCAGTCCTTGAAGAAACACGAGGTAAACATGTCAATCTCCGCACTGCAATGACGGAGCTTGAGATAATCGAGGGTATGACTTTTTGCAGCAATTTTGAGGAAGGGAACGAGAAACCGCTTTAGGTAGGAAATCGCAGGCTTCGCAACCACATAAAGACGCATCTTTCGTCCAGTCTTTCGACTCGTAGCCCTACCTTGAGATGTAATCTACACGTGTTGCGTACTTTGCGACCTCTTCATGCAATACAGGACTCCACGGACTAGAGTTGTTAGGATCATTGTGATGCGGCTGAACGGCCAATCACTTTTCGAGTCGTGTCAAACAGTGGTCAGCTAAACCATCCGACGATCGTCAGATAGCGTACAGAGCTGTCGAACAATCATCTGTACATGTTCCGAAGGTATTGGAGCGAGATCACACAATCAGTTTGCGGTTGTCACGAAGGAAAGCGTGGCAAGCGGATAGCAGGAAGGTATCGACAGGCTTGCACTTTCGAAAACAGCAACTCGGCGCGAACGACAGCCAAGTCGGCCGACTTTACCCGGAGTACACCTCCAAGACTTCAACCATCTGATGATTCCGTCCTTGCAGCAATACATCAATATAACTTGAGCAAGTTTCGTGTTCCAGCCTCCTAAGCGATGTGAACAGATTATCGCCGAGAGACTTGTGAGATTGGAGATGGAGAGTCCTCGACTGATCTGTGCGGTCGTGCGAGGTTTGTGCTGTTCTTGCCCAGCGTTTAAAGTTCTGAGAGATTTGTGCCCGGAGAGAGATTGACTTTCTGCGCGACTTATGCTTGTACCCTACGCAAGCTCTTTTCGCCAGCTTATAGGCCAAAGTACATGATGTAGGTCAGCACAGCGCTACAGACTCGATCCTCGACCTTGAGAGTAGCATCATTCGCCAGATTTTGTTGGCTCTTCTCAGCCGCAGCACAATAGACGCAGGGTCCTTCCTTCCAAGGTTCACTGCCCCTCCAGCTGTCACAAGCCAAAGACCCCACCAAGCACAAGTCCCTCAGCCTAGCAACTGGTATATATACACTTCATCCACCACCTCTACTTCCTCTCCACTACAACAACAACACACTCAAATACCCAAGCCTTCTTCGATCTTCAGTCTTGCATCTTCCATCAACGACCTTCTTCCAACACCAACTCAACTCAACATCAACAACAATGGGTGGCTGTGGTAACGCCTCTTGCTCTTGCGCCAGCTGCGGCTGTGCTGTCGGTAGCTGCACTTGCGGTGTGAGTATCTCCTCTCTGAACCCGATGTCTTCACTGCTATCACTTCGAACACTTGCTATCACTCACCATCTCGCCCTCACATCTGTTGCCACTATCACCTTCTACTTCCACAACAAAGCTAACAGCTATCAAAGAAATAAGCTGCTTCACTCGAGACATTGCAATCTCGGTATGATGGGTCAAAGTTCATGATCTCATCACCTTAAGGCCTTGCTAGTCCGACTTGACCACATATCACAACCATCACGAGCTTTAATCATCATCATCATCTCCACCAGAACTTTACCAAAAACAACAAAAACACCAACAAAAGAAGAAACGACAGGAAAAATTGGATGTACTTGGAAGCCGTTCATCAGGGACGAAGCTTGGAAGGAGAGCGAGCAGCAGTAAACGAGAAGGTTTGAGATTGACAGATGCACATCTTCATCTTATTTGGAAATTTTTACGGAGGATGCTTTTCTTTCTTTTCTCGATATTCGGAAAGATGGTTATTTGCAAAAACCTTGCAATCGTATACTGGGAACGACAGAAGCCCAACTTCCAATTTCGATCACTATCTACCCTCATAATCCCGACATGTGTGCCACCGATTGTGTTGGCGACTCGAAGAGTATGAGTTCTAGTAACCTGACAGACGTACTTCCAGAGCAGGTTTCGATTATGTATTCGAGCACTCTATTCCATGAGATCTCTGCGGATTCTTGGTAAACCTTCGAGATATCTTCATGAAGTTGAGCATGATGATGTCACGAGCTCGTGTGGTCTAGTGGTATGACATCTCTCTCACACAGAGAAGATCCTGGGTTCGATCCCCAGCATGAGCAATTTTTACTTTTGGGATACACCTTCAACTAACCTCACTGGGTCCTTCATGAGTTGTGATTGTTTTAAATGATGGTGTGGTCGGCGGATTTGCCGGCTTCGCAGACAACACAGGTTCACAACCAACACACACATGCCTCGGACAAAACTCAAGAACGATTACGGTTTTCTTGGCGTTCACATGCAATGACGGCAAGGGTCACCCATCGTCCGGGTCTCGTGCGGCATGTTGCAAGTCGAGCGGAACGAATTCTCCTTTTGCAAGTCTGAGGACAGTGAGGCGGTATGCCCCCATCTTGTGGCAGTAGACCAATGACTAGAACCATTTCATGGCAGCCCTTGGTGCGTGCAATTCCCGGAGCAAGTTCCATGATTTTTGTGTCTTGGTTTCCCCGCAGAGATGCAGAGGATGACATCGGTGACATGTTCTGGATGGTACAAGCGTTCTGGGCAGCAACCGGACAAACAACAAAGGAAATGCACTGACACGCCTTGCCAACAACAGACACACCTTGGATGACCTCCATGTCGGATACTTCGTCCACGTCCGCGAATGCCGCACACTCGGCGCCCGAGAGGAGAGAGTCCAACAACACAACCAAGCCGCCGACAGTAGCCGCCTTTTCACCCACCTCGCACGAGTTTCCTTCGACTCGACAGCGCTCGACTATTCTCGTACACCAAAAGTCACCGCTACTGCTCGCAACTCCGCCGCAGGTCACAAGAGCTTTGGCATATTCACATCCGTTCATTGTCCCGTTAAACAAGCTTGTCGGGCTGCTGTCATGGACGACTGGAGATGCTTGGGAGAGCTTCCTGTTCGTGGCCGCCTTCTGGTTCACAGTCTTGTATGGCGGCTATATACTGCGATACATGGGACCTTTGATACTGGTCACCTTCCTCATAGTGGGCATGTACCTTCGAAGGTATTCTCCACTGTCATCAACAGGATGGACTGGCGAGAAANAGAAGGGACACAGAAGAGATCCTTCGGATGGCATCAAGCATCGCAAGTCTTTGGATGAGATCCTCTCGACTTTGCAGACCTTCACGACGAGATGCAACATCCTGCTCGACCCATTACTTCGCTTGACCGACTTCTTGTCTACCCAGCAGACAGCAACCTCTGCCACCACACAACCCGCCCTTACCACCCTCTTCATTCGCATCATGCTCACATCACCTCTATGGTGGGCTCTTACTCTCCCTCCTCTCCGCATCATCACCACGAAACGAATCGTCCTGGTTGCCGGCACCATCTTCTTGTCCTGGCACTCACGTCCAGCACGTATCAGCCGCACCATCCTCTGGCGTTCGAAGACTGTACGTGAGATCTGCACCATCATTACCGGTCTCGATCTCGGCGCGCCTTCGGCCTCAGCACCACCGTTACCTCCACGACCAGGAACAAAAGGTGCCGTGAATGTGAATGCAAAGCCAAACACCGACTCGGGAGAAGGCATTCGCTTCACATTCATCTTGTACGAGAATCAACGAAGATGGCTCGGCATAGGCTGGACAGCAAGTATGCTAGCTTACGAACGCAACTCTTGGACCGACGAGCATCTGAACCCAACATCCGATCCCGTCCACTTCGAGTTGCCCGAGGTAGAAGGTGGAATGGCAAAATGGCAATGGGTTGAAGACAGCGAATGGCATGTCGAACTACCGTCGTCCAAGAAGAACAAGACCAAGGATGCTGCCGCCGACGACGAAGATGCATGGATATACTACGACAATAAATGGCGCGATGGAAGAAGAGGACAAGATGGCTGGGGTCGCTACACACGTCGCAGAAAATGGCTCCGCGACGCCGAACTCGTGGACGTGATGCCAGAAGAAGAGAAACCGACGANNAACCTACACTGGCTCCTCCTCCTCATCCGACCACAGAAAAGCAAAAACCACCNNACCGACGCCTCCTCGCCCTGTGCCCTCTCGCACTCCCAGCAGCGCATTGACACAGGCACTGAAGAATGCTCCACAGCAGGCACAAACACCTTCCATGACTGCCGCTTCAACCATCACCNNACAAGCAGTGACGTTGGAAGTCCGTCTAGCAGCTACAAGCGCAAATCATGGATACCAGGTTCAGCGGGAAGTAGGAACAGAGCCACTAGCAGTGCGTCTGGCAGTACTGAAGGGAGAATGAGTAGAGCGGCGATGGGGAATGATGATGTGGTGCCCCCGGTTGCAAGGTTGAAGAATGAGACGGCGGATTGGGGGTTGGGTGATGATGTTAGTATGGGCTTGGGGTGAACTGTAAGGAGAGGAGTATTACAGAGGAGACAAGATGATTCGCATGAAGGGTTATTAAAGATACGAAATGCTATCTGTTTATGACAACTTCTTTTGCTTTACTGCTCCTACTCGACACTGTGTCTTACCTTCCAGTCTTACTTGCTTGTAGCAACATCGATTTTGGTATCATGGTCCTCAGGTAAGTGAAGTGCCCATGACTTGAGGATTGATTGTATGTATTTGAGTCGGCACCTGGCTGCAAAGGCTGCGCCCCACAAAGCCGCTGTGAGCAAGCAACGGCCAATCCACCACAACCCAGTTTTTTTCACCACACGATCAAAAGCACCACATCCACTCATCACAAGAACTTACAAAAACAGAAGAACAATCACCTTTTCACTCGAGAAACTGCAAAAAAACCGAAGAAAGTCATCTTGTTTGCATGTGTCTGTTATAGTGATTAGCAATTGCGAAAGTATTGACGATGCAGAGATTCGAACTCACCATCCTTAGTGCAGGGGCCATGCTAATCTTCTCTGTATAGTTATAAATTGACCATATGCCCAGAGGGCGGGAAAAACTCTGATTTTAGAGATTATATAGCTTGTGTGTTGGGGTTTCTCCCTTTGACAAAGATCGCCGCGAGGGCTTGAGGGACAGCAGAGTTTGGAAGAGGAGGAGTGCTGGGAGAGCAGGTTGCCACATCGTTTACGCGATCTTTGCGACAACAATTCGTCTGTAACCCGAGCTCGCCAGATACTTTTGCTCTCACATGCTATTGCCTGAGGATTCTTAAAAAGTCGAAAAGCTAGGTGGCGTGATTTTGAACAAGTGTGGGATTTTTGGTCCCGATTATTTTGACAGGCTTACTAAGCAGAAGTACAACCACCGCGGCTCCAGCACAACTACTCGAATGCTTCACGCATACCGCAGATGTTCCATATAGTTAAATGAGTAAAAAGGTCCAAAGTATGAGCTTCTAGTTCTGTCAGTCGTTCGGTATGCAGCTACACACTCCGTCTCGAAAACAACCACTTGTGCTCGGGTCCAGCCATCATGCTTTCGATTTTCCTACATATCTGCAATCGCTCTGCTGGCCTTGAAAGACTGGACTAAACCGTGTTGAAAGAAGACCGCAATCTACTAGTTTTGGCCTCATAATCATCAAGCGAGCAAGAAACCTCAATTTCATCTCTCCCTTTGGCCATGGCATGCTTGGACTAAATCACCGATTCACAAGTTATTGAAGCTTGATACTCAATTAGCCTCTAGCAGACATGTTCATCACGCATCCTGGTCTTGGCCCGAGATTATACACTTCTAGTATATGTCTAGACCATTACACTGTCCAGAAAGTACACGATGAAAGAAAACAGAGCGCTCTGCATTTGGAGTCTATGAAGCAGCAACTTAGGTCAAGGTTGAAGGTACTACACTTCGTTTCATAACCCTTCGCGTTTCCTGTTACGCCTGATTCTGGAATCGCTTCTTTCCCTCCCAAGTTTCTGTCTTCCAATTGTTGAAGTATGGCAGCTTCGCTTGTCAGATGTGTATACTACTCTTCTGGATGATTGTTTCTTCATGGAGTCTCATGTGATCCTCGAAGTTTGGTCAGGTCCATAGTATTGAAACAAGCTTTAGTAATACTCCTCATGTCCAGGTCACAGACACCCTACGATATCTTAGGAAACCCAGATTCCATGTTTGCAGCTTTCTTACCGGAGCCTTTTTACATACCTGATATCTAATCTCGGGCCTTGGTCACTGGGCTCGTCGTGATTGAAGATCTGGAATGGTATTGAAATACAGTACTTGCTGCAGATCGATAGACCCCTCTCGCGTGCGCTTTCCATTGTCACTACATACTAAGCACTTAGCCGCAAGTCACAGTCTCCTTTACTGTCCTCAACCGAACAATACTCGTACAGATCCAAGTTATGCATCGTCACGAGGCCGCCAAGCATTTCTTGTGCAGTAAGGCTTCACGCACCAAAAAGCGTTCACAAATCCCATGGTGCCATGTCCAAAGTTTGTAAAAAGACTGTTCTCGACCCATCTCACTACCTTTTTTCTTTCTCCTTGACACGCCTCTAAGGAGCAAAAGTTATGTTGACGAGAGTGGGATTTGAACCCACGCCCTTTCGGACCAGCGTATTGGAAGAACCTTAAGCTGGCGCCTTAGACCGCTCGGCCATCTCGCCTTGTAATAGGTCGATTGATCTAGTCATTATATGTAATAATTCAACCACTGCCCAGCGATGTGGACCCCGGACGTGGCCACAGCACGCAAATGAGTCCTTGACTCTGATTGAACGAGGGTAGCGATATGACTGTCCATGATCAGACCCTGGTCGTGGGAGAAGTTGGATTCATCGTCAGTAGCATGATCTATGGTGTACGATCAAGGGCTATGAGTGATCGAGAAGGTAGAAACTGGCGGCTTACATGAGGGGCTGCAGCCGTCCCCCGGTCCTCGGACGTCAACACGCATAACCACAGAAGCACCTACTCGAGTAAATCATGAGTTCATGGGTCTCGTTTGTCTTCCAGCAGGAACTCGCAATCCGCCATCAAGAACCCACAGTAAAATCACCAGTGCTCAAGCGAACCGAGATCTGAAACACGGCATCGAATTGCGCAAAATCGTGGAGAAGAAAAGGCTTCGTACGACCCCAACGACGAGGTGGCATTGCTTGTCTGTAAGCCATCCCTTGCACCTCAAACTCAGATATATTACTTTAGAACGATCAATCACCTCACACGTTCCTAGTATCAGGGATTGAGCTGGGATCTGAAACGTCTGCCGCCGCCGCATGCTGTGAGCCTGTGAAGCTTGTGGAACGATTCAACCACAGAGACGGTGTTGATCCACAAAGTGGACATGGAGTCAACAGTTACAGCTATAGTGTAGGTGACGACAGTATCCGGCAGGGTAATACCGGTAAGGTTCTGCGTCTTGTGTTCGATGCCTATAAGAACTCGTAGGTCTCTTGTTTGATTGCACTCCATCCAACCTACTCCATCACTCTTGTTGCAAACACCATCTCCATTACCTTCGAAAGGACTCTTCATTTATAATCTTCATCACATCATCTAAACATGTACACACCCATCACTCTTCTCGCTGCCTCCGCCGGCCTCGCCACAGCAGCAACATCCTACAAGGCTTCCTTCACCCAATACGGGTCCACAGACACATGGGGCTCCGGAAACTGTAATTTTGCAACCACTGCCTGTGGTTTCTACACCTCTGTACGTTTCCCTCCTCTCCCCTTTCTCGTCTACCATCTCTAACAAGCAATCCAGCCCGGCTACTCAGCCGCAGTATCCCAAAACGAGTTCGGTGTTGGCACAGGTGCTGGCGCCGGCCCAGCCTGCGGAACCTGCTGGAAACTGACCGCCTCTACCGACTCCTCTGGCAACAAAAAGACCTTTGGCGGTCCCATCGTGGTTCAAGTCACAAACCTGTGTCCTGCAGAGAGTAACCCTCTGTGTGCTCAGAACGGTCTGAGTGACACAAACCAATACGGCGCCAACCTCAACTTTGATCTGTGCATTGATTCGGGGGCTAGTGCTGCGTTGTTTGGCAGCAGTGGTGTTGGGTTGGCCGTGGGTAATGCAGAGCAGGTTGATTGTGGACAGTGGAGTGGCAAGGTTGTTCACTAAATTTTGTAGCCATTGAGGTGGTTGCAACAGCTGGATCTGTGTAACTACTCAAATCTATCAACAATCAATCTCTGGTCATCCTGCAACCATCAACCGTTACTACCTGCAACAAGCATTATCTTTATTAACACCATCACATTCTTAGCTTCTTCCACTGCCACAGGATACCCCATCCACCGAACACGGATGCTAGCCCCGTGAATACAATCAGCGGCCCATAGCTTGATTGCACCCCGTAACCGCTGCTCGCCATTTTACTGGTGCCAGCTTTGAGCAGTGGTACACCGATCAAGCCACCAGCGACGTATCCAATGCCTCTTGCTCCATTCAGCAGACCATAGACCATACCTGAATCAATAGCCTCGTTGGACTGTCTCGCTTCGCTCTCGAGGTCATTGATCAGGCCTCCCCACGTTGCACTATATCCTCCAGCAAAGAAGCCGAAAGTAATAGAAAAGAGGACCAGCGTTGCCAGGTTGCCTTGTGTTGTCAAGCCCCAGAAGAGAAAGGCACTCAACGACGAGCTAAGTCCTGAGATACACGTGACAGTTGTGGCGGAGAGTGTAAAATGCTTGTTCTCGCTCAAGTAGCCAAAAAACGAAGAGGATGCAATGCCAGGAATGTTGAAGAGTGTGAGCAAAAGAGTGGCCGAAGTCTGTGAGAGTTTGGCAACTTCGCTGGCGTACGTGTTGAGATATGTTTGTGGTATTCCGTAACCAGCGGACTGCAGGACGATGGCCACGCAGTGGATATAGATCGTCCGGTGGTGCAAGAAATGCCAGGGTATCTTGCGTGTTCGAGGAGTGTCTGCTGTTCTGCTTGCATCTTGCTCGTCGTCCGCGTTCTCAGTGATACTATCCGTCGCTACAGCCAAAGCCGATGAATGAGTTGGAATCAGAAGAATTGTGAACACGCTCGCACCAGCGACCAAGATTGCCCAGATCCTCAAGGTGAATCGGAAGCCATGTTGATCCAAGAGCGCTGAGAACAGAAAGGGACACACTGAACCAACAATATTCTTGCAGGATAGCGTGATGCCATAGGCCAACGCCCGATGACTTGTCTTGTACCACTCGCCCAACGACAGAGTCATGGGGCTGAATACTAGAGCAGACCCAAAGGCCGCAAGTACGCCTTGCGTGAACACCAGATGCCAGACATTGCTGCTGAAACTTGACAACAAGAAACCCAGGCAAGCAATGACTGTCCCGAGCAGAGCGGCAGTCTGGCGAAACCGTGCCCAGCGCTTGGTGAATAGGGCAAATAGGAAAGGCATCGAGAGGTACATGACTCCATTCGAAGTCATACCGATGATGCCAGTCAAATCACGGCTGCCTTGCAGCGTCCAGTGCTTGATGTAGTACTCTTGGAAGACACCATAGCTCATCGCAAAGCCNTGGGGTATATCAAGGTCAGAACATGCGAAGAACGTGGATTCTTGCGAAGCGCTCCAATTGTGCCCGTAGAGTCTTGAAACGTCCACAAAGAAAGACTCACCCCAGATAGGAAACTGCAACATGGCAGACCCAATGAGAACGCATGCCTTCTTCTTGCTTGGATCAATTCGCCTGTACAAGCCATGTTCGATGCTAACCGAGCTATCGTCTTGTAGAGCATGATCGGATTCTGTTTCATCTCGTGAAGTTGAGCTTGGCTGAGCCTGGAGCGCAATGGCTTGGTCGCCCGCGTCGGCTTGCATCATGATACGGGAACAATTTCACCGTCACAAGACTTTTGTCGAAGTGAAGCTTTAGTCATTGATCTTTAAACAAGAGATGGAGTGGAAGGTCATACAACACAAGTGCTGTAGGTATCTGATGACTCACCGACTGACCAATAGAAATCCTCCTCAATGCCCGACCTTGAACCTACAGCACGACGTCCAACCCCGCCCTTCGTTCTTGTGAAGCTCTTATTCTCGCACATGCCAAAAATGTGGGCATAGAGATGCTACAACATTACGACTCTCTAGGATTTGATTGAAGAAAATCTTAGGCATTTCGATAACGACAGTGTGATAGGCTATGGTACTCGAAGGTCGACTCTCTCCATGCTTCAGGCAAAAACGTGCATTCCCTATAGCCTTCTCCTTTGCAATCGTGACGTGAAACGATATCATCTCTAGCTACTACCTGGGATCATGAGCCCGCGAGCTCAACCCTCGAACTTCTACTGTCCACGATAGTGTTGTTGAACAACCTCAACCTAGGAGAGGTTCCAGACGTGCCTTGCCAGGACCGGTAGGCACTAGACGACAAAAGCCAGGCTCAAGAACACACAGGTACTCAGGGATGCCAAAGTCAATGACCACAATGGCCTTGTTGCGTTGAAGATCAGGCAGTGGGTTGACCTCGATCTCAGGCATAGAATCGTTGGTGCTGCCTCTACCATCGAAGATACACATGCCCATGGGAGAAGACGAGAGATTGGAGGGTATGGTGTTGACGTCGAAGGGAAGGGTGCCGCTGGTGAGGAAGTGGTTGCGTTCGGAGATGCCTTTGATCTCTGCACCTATCCGCTCTGATGCCTGACCGCCAATGAGGACGATGTATGCAATCGCAATCTATCGGGTATGCTCCTGGTTGGGTTTCTTGAGCTGTTCCTAGTTTCATAGATATTGATCATCTTTCCTTGGCTAACAGCTGACCATACTGCTGTGCAAAACATTTGAGCCCGCTACGTATGACCATATCTTGTCATACACACTAGCACGGTATGAGAGATAGAAAGCAAACAGGTCAACGTTCCAAGCCCAGCATATGCAGTATGCCGATATGATCTGCGTTTGTGTAACGAGTTCATATCAGCCACCTACAGTTTTCGACCTGTCAAGTCGAGTTAAAAACCTGCTTAGACTCACATAACACAGAATCAAGAGGTCCGATATGAATTATGGATTAATGCTATGCAGTTCCCAGAACATACCTAGCACCCTCGTAGCCGCCGACATATGCCAGTACGATCGTCTAGATAACACCAGGCATACCTCTCTTGACACCCGGCTCGCCCAGACCTGGAACGACCATGGGAGCACTCTTCTCTGTCGACGTTCTGAACACAGGGAAGAACTTTGCAATCCCGCTCTTGGGTCCATAGGCCTCTTCAATCAGGTATACTGCGACACGCCACCAAGCGAGCAGAGCAGAGAACATCCAGAAGTATGCGGCCACTTTGATACCGATGCCTACACCGGTTCCATATGCGAAGAGACAGCAAGCAATTGTTGTGCCGATGGCAAGGGCGAAGAGGAGGGTTGCGAGGATAACGTCACGGGCGGTGGCTGCGATTGCCTGTGAAAGAGTCAGTATCCATGAAATGGCAGGAACAGGAAACTGGAGGCAACTTACACCAACCCAAGTAAAGGCAGCCAGAACCACAAACCAAGATGCCAATTCAGGAAGATGCGCATGAATGTCTCCAGCAGGGAGAGCTCCAGTAGTGTTCAACAAGAACATCAATCCCTCACTCATCCAAAACGCACCCCANCCTACGCTTGTCAGCTTTCGTCCATTGCCTCTCCTTTCCCTCAGAAGTACTCACATAGTATTAATCACACTAACCAACGTATCCCTAGCATGAAAGCCGAACAATCCAGCAATGAACTGGCTCAAGCCACCCCAAAAGGCCACGAACGGAAAGAAAATCGTTGGCGAGGAGTCATTGCCCCACCAGCCAGCAATCCAAGACGCAGTTATCCATGTACTGCCGGCGAAGCCAGCTAATCCCAGTGCTGCGGGAGGTGCGATTGGAGTCAAGCAAATGCGTACTTCGGGTTCGCGGTTGATGAACGAGTCCACTTTNTGGACGTCGTGGGAGTTGAGAGCCATGGTAATTTCGAGATTGAGAAGGCGATATATTCGAGTGTCCAGGTAATGGAGTTTGTTCTTGAGACCAGAAGAAAAAGGGAGAAAAGATCAAGAGAGGACAAGAGCAGGGTGTAAGTCTTGTTTATCAATGGGTACACAAGGTTTCTGACACTCATCATGTCCTACCACCATCGAGTCCATCGAGACATCAGGTTGCTTGTTCTGCCTGTGCTAACCCGCGGATCCTCAGAAAATCAGCGTGGGATGTGTTGATATGTTTTCCTAAAAGGGTAGTCGAGGTGGTCGATCTTTGCGGCTCGGTGACCTCAGAACTATGTCATTGACATGGAGATATGGAGATGTCGAACTTTTTGAATCACTTTTTTTCTCTTGCTGGTCGTCGATTGCTTATCTTTGTACATTGTGACGATGACTTCCTAGAGACGATGGAGGAAGGGTCTCGCTAAGGATGGGGCTCACGGGGTATGAGTGTGGTAGAAATGCGTATGGTACACAACATGAATTTCAAGGCAAACTACGACATCGAGCAATGAATATGAATGCTTCTACTCATATGGAATGCCGATACAAACGTGCTAGCTCACTATCATAAAGCTGTTCGACAATGTAGCTGACGGAGGTTCATGTCTCACAACACCACGATGATCTTCCTCTCCATCTCTACTGGCCACACTCGAATGCGGCGAGGGCGGTACTCCCGGAGCAGCCTCACCAGGTGCCAACCCCGGCATCTTGTCAAGATCGAGATAAGTCCTATACCCCAACTTTCTCTTCCTTCTCAATCTCTTGATACCATATCTTTGCACTTCGTCCCACATTTCGTTTGTAAACATTTTGCGGATGTGCTTCATCTCGATGAGGTATTTGGTTTCCCACCTGATGCCCCATTTGGTTGGGTCAGTTGGATCTCCGCGAGTAATTGCGGAAGGGTACCAATCCCAGATGCCAGGGAAGGGTGAAGTGGTCAGGCCGTAAGGCATGATGGCGCTGTAGGGAGTACTCAGCATTTGGACAGCACCGCCAAAGACATGGTTTTCCCAGCAAGCGCCCAATTCATTGATGCGGCCATCACGGAAGTATGGCTCTTGAGGATTCTTCCATTCTGGCTTTTTGGGTGCAGCGTAGTGTTGCATGTAGGTAGGGTTGGAAGTGATCCAGAGGCAATGCATCACTTCATGGACAAGCATGGTAGCGAGTACGAATTGGGCACGCAGCACCGCAGATTCATCGTGATTGCCAGGATTCCATGGTACTGAGTATCTGCTCGCTCTGAGCTTGCCTCGAAATACATCCAGGAATTGGTTACTAAATGTTACTTTGGCAGAGCTTGCACTGTAGAAGATATCAGAAACAATGTCATCAAAATTCAGACACTAACGAACATACCCAATCACAATCGTTGAGCCTGTGTCTCCAGCTTGAGTCATCCCGGGACACCCGTAAGGCAAATATTGCGAGAACTCGAACGAGATGCAATCTTTCAGCATCAACAAAGTATGCCAGACTTCTTCCGAGGTCCAATCACGCAGAGGTTCAGGATTGAAAGTGTGCAATGGCTGCCCAAATCTATTGATTAATTCCTGGTCGTTGATTTGCGCTAAGGGTTCTTTCAGAAACCCTTTGACATATTCCAACATCTGAGGCTCATCCAAGAGCCTACTTGCCAACTTGATGGATGGGGTCAAGAGATTGTAGTCTTCTTGAGAACCATTTTTCCATCTTCGTGGAAGGAAGATGGGGTGAATAGCAGGGATGATAGGATCCCACCCTCGCAACTGTCGGATATAGGCACCAGTCACATGTTCCTTTGCTTTCTTCTCAAAGTCGGGATTTATGGGAAAGTCTGAATCCGGTAGATTGATGTAGCCCTTCTGGTTGAGTTCTTCGAGATCGATGGCCTGAAGAGTCGGAATGTCGTCTAGTCTGATTCTAGGATCAAGAATGGACGCGACAATGTTTTTCAGGCCTTTCAACATGGTGTGTGTTGCGAGGCAAGGAAGCTCCTCGAGCTCTGCAACTACAATCCTGCGTGAGTCGAGCGACGGCTTTTGTTCATATTGAGCGAAGTGCGCCGAATGCGGCGATAACAAAGCCAATGAATACAACAGGAAAAGACATAAGCGATAGAAGTTCATGTCGTATTTTCGAACAAAGGAAACACGAAAGAAAAATCTCATCGTTATTCGTGTTGATCTGCCTGTGCCATTATTAAAGTGTCTTCCACCACTTGTGGTGACCAGGGAGGGCAACTAGTCAAGATTGGCCGACGGATCAGTCACCTTTCCAGTGTCATGGCACATGATCTGCGGGATGAGAGTCTCGGGTGGGTAGTAGAGGCCAGACACAGAGACGTCGTAGAGGTGAGGGGTCAATGTCTTGAGATAGTAGATGAAGCTATTGTCATCCTCGTTCTATGTGTCGTTGTTGTTGCGAAAGAAGTCGCCCATGTTCACACGCATTCTTGTACGATTGCGTGGAGGTTGAGCTGCTGATTCGTCGGGTCGCTGTTGACATTCTCCCTTGTGGTCGGGCCAGTCGTTCTTCTGGCACTCACGCGAGCAATACTGAATGCTGCGGCACTGGCCACACTGTTGCAGCGCGTGTCCGAAATGCTCTTTCGGGATATGGCAATGCGCACAAGACGAGTCGGTAGAGGAGGGGGGAGTATACTGGCACGTGTGGAAGGAGCAGCTAATTATCTCCGGTTAAAGCCGCCAGCTCGATACCTCTATGTGTAAAAGTCAGCTACCTACCCACGGGTCTCGAAAGGGAGGAGTACAAGAAGACAGGAATGGACATTGAGCAGCATAAAAAGTCGATTGTGTTCCCGATTGGTAAATGATGTTGCGCCTGTCCTTTATTCCTGCTGTCCCTGTCCATATGCCATGTCCATAACGCCCTGCTGTATGCACAACCATCTCCAGCAATGCCCGTGTTTGTCCCAGGTCCTCAGCAGACGATGGAGTGTATCTGGGACCAAGCTCTCCAAAGTCTCTCTCCCGGTGTGATCCGATGTTTGTGGCGTCCTTGACTTAATTCCCTTCCTTCAAGGGCCTTGACTGATCTCAAGTCCTACTTGCAGTACTTTGCGACAAAATCCTTTGCATTCTTCTCAAAGACGTCCGGGTTGTTCTTGTACTCGTCGGCAATTCTACTTTCGACGGCGTCATCAGGCTGGGGCGCAGCGAGGATTTGGCGGACGAGGATCAGAACGTCGCGAATCTTGTTTGGGGGCTTCCACTGGTCGGAGCGAAGCATACCCAGGCACATGCTGCCCTTGTCGTCGTTGGACACGTTTGGGTGGTAGATCTTGGTTTTGAACGAGACGGTGGGCGGCTTGAAGGGGTATTCCTTGGGAAGCGAGACTTCGATCTTGAACTTGGCGTTCNNTGCGCGCAGGTCAGCATTGTGAGTCATTGACAAAGAAACAGCGTTACACACGGCGTAAACAGAGTCTTCAGGGCCCTGCATGATGACCTCCCAAAGAAAGACGTTGCCTTCTTCGGCGAGCTGCACCTGAGTGCCCGGCACGGGNTTGGTCGACACTTGGCCCAGTTCCTGTAAGCCGCGTCAGTTATGAAGGAGTGCGCAATGGGCGGTAGATCATACGGTAACGATTCTCTTGTTGGCCATGATGAATGAGATGTGATGTGCAAGGAAAGAAGAGAAACAGCACGGCAGGCGAAGAAAGATGGATCAAGGTGTTTCAAGTGACGCGGGGGTTCCATTCGGTCTGGACTGGATTGTGGGGCCTTCCACTCTGCTCAGCTCTTACCAAAGAAGTCACTTTCACCTTCTCCTTTCATCCTTCGTCAATCTCACACCTGCACTCTCCAACACTGTGCCTGCATTTGTGACTCGTAACAACACCACAGTCCCGTCTACCAGGCAATACACACGCATTGTAGATCTCCCTTCGTCAATACCTGCACGATAATGGCCGCTGCTGCCTGATACACCACACGCGCCCAATCGGCTGCGTGCAACCTCCAGCCTCGCGCCAGGGGTGCGTGACAACCTCGATCATAAGTAGTCATTTCCAATCTCCAATCCTCTTTCCTTTTCCTACGCTCGCCAAAAGGTCGCCGACAATCCACCCCTCCAAGCTGCTCGCACACGTAACGCTTCTTTTTCGCAAGAAAGAGACAGTGTTACTGCCTGCGAAAAGCTTGTCCGAGTGCGTGCCTGTTTCCTCGATAGCTCTCTCATGCTACGCGCGTCAATCTTCATTCGTTTATAAGCCATCTTCTCCCTCTGCTCATCCTCTCGTCGTGACAATTCTCTCCAGGATGCTGAAGAGATCTTTTGGCTACAAGGATCGTGCCGGCAAGGCTACGAAGCCTGTCAAGAGATCCTTTCGTGATGATGCGAAGCTGAAGTTGATGGAGCAGCTTGCTCAGCCGTCCAGTCCGCCGAGCGCTGTGTACGTGGATCGCTTTTCTTCTTCCTATCTTCTGTCTCCTTGACATTCTTCAAATCACCACTCGATGGCCATGCATTGATTTGTATTTATAGTCAAGCCTNCTCCCAGGCTCAACAGCGCCATAGTCACCATCGTGGTAGGCAAGGACCAGCGTCTGTTCGCCGCTCATGAAGACGTCCTCAACGCCTCGCCCTTTNTGCAATCGGCAGGCAAGGAGGCCCTCTACACTTCAACCTCGTCCTCATCTCGTCGTATCTTCCTTCCCGACGAAGAAGCAGAAATCTTCTCCGCTGTCCTCGAGTTCATGTACAAAGGCGATTACTTCCCGCGTCTCCTCCACGACCGCAGAAGAAACACCTGGATCCTTGAGTCCGTGGATGAGTGTTCTTCCCTCTCTCCCAAATTCCAGGGCAGGGGTAATGCGACTACCGTCACCACGTTCAGTGCGAGAGTCAACGGCTTGATCTTAAGGGACACCGCCATCTACTGCCTGGCCGAGCGATTCGGTCTCGAAGAGCTCAAGAAGCTATCTTTGCGTAAGCAAGGACTGCAGTCGGGTATCGAGGTCGCAACTATACTTCGCAGTGCAAGATTCGCCTATGACAACACTCCCGAAACTGATTCTCGGCTGCGTGCGCATTACCTTGCTCTGATCATCCGCAGCCGCAACACCTTCAAGCCAAGTGGAACCATGCAAGTGGAGATGGAGAGTGGTGGACGCATGTTCTTTGATCTATTTGTCGCGATGGCGAATCATATTGATGATTTGACAGAGTTGAAGGGGCAAGTTTGAGAGTTTTCTTCTGTCGTCTTTGCTCCTGACACTCTGCTTCTCTTCTTGAGGCCTGTGTCGCTGACGCTTATGTTCTCCTTGTAGCACACGCGCTTCCCCTCGTGTCATCTGAATCTTTGCCATCGCGTCTCAACTGCAGATCATCAACTGGATCCGACCATTCGAAGTTCTCTCCCAACGTCTGCACAAAACCAAAAACCCAGCAAAAAAAAAAAGCCATCATACCTCGATAACTCGACTCCATGCCCAGATTGAACAACACTCTCACTTCTTTCCGATCAGGCCCAAGTTGTGACCAACGAAGGAAGTTCTCCGCGGTTGACTGCTTCATGATAATTGATGAATACTGGATCTCTCTTCTCAAAGCTCGGCGCCTCAAACCCGACAAAAAGACAAAAAAAACAACACAAAGACAAGGGAATATGTTCTATCTTTCTGGATACGATGAAGAGGTTGGTAGCTCTGGCTGTGGTAATTGGTGTGGAAGATGTCGATGGAACCGAAACTCGTCTGTCTCTTCTGGAAGCAACAGAACATGGCTGTTCACGCTTTCTCTCGTCGAAGTCCTTTGTCGTTTCTTGACGAACAAGGAAAGACCAATGTCTGGTGTGAGAGGTCTGTACCTTCACACAGAGATTTGCCTGTCATTTTCGAAGTCCAAGATTGTATCTATGCTGTTCTTGAACAGTGTCCATAGTATCGCAAGCTTTGTATGGCGTACGTAGCGGCGGTATATCAGAGCAAACAAGGCAATTGCCTTGTTCCTGCCAATGGAGTTGTCCTAGTCTATTGCTATGTAAATGTGTGCTGACATTGATTTCTTCGACGAGAATGTGAAAACAGCAATAGTAGCTTTCAAAGTGCAGTTCAGCGGGACTTGAGGATACTTTGCATTCATTCCGACAGCTTTAGACGAGAGCGGGCCCTGCAACGAAGAGAGAACGACTGCACCAGACAAACATCGTCAGGGTCAAACGTTGACAAAAAATAGTTGCATCTCGGATTATAGCGGAGTATCAAGGAATTCGCAGATCGTAACCATCTCTACGCAACCTCGACCAATTCATCCTCATCATCAATCTCTTGCACCTTTGGCGGTTGCGGTGCCTCCTCACCCTCCNNCTCATCTCTAGCGATTATCTGTACGACTCTATCACAAGCCTCCTGCACATCCGGACTTTCAGTATGCAAATGAAGCTCCCTCATCACGGCATAAACGTTCTTTTCTCGCAAAAAGTCTCTGCCTTGTCTGTTTGTGGTGAGCAAGAGCAGGGTTTCGAGGTGGATGATTTGAATATCGGTTTCGGGCTCGCGGGTCTTGTCTGGAGGTAACAATTGCAGTTCTTCGGGCATGGTGTCCATGTCTTTGTCTTCGTACTCTTCGGGACCCATGAGTGGGAGGAGGAGGTAAGGTAGAATGTTTAGCCCGCCATTGGTTTCATCCGTGGAGAGCATTTTGGCGTGGACGTCTGATTCGAAAGCGGCGTTTTTGATTGTGGAGGCCACACCTCTGCGGCGAATTGTCGACTTGTGCTCGGTAAAGACGATGAGTTTTGTGAGAGGGATGATGTTTTCATCTTCCTCGCGCGGGGTGAGGAAGTGCTTGCGTCCTTCCTCGTATTTTGAAATGTCGGCAAAGACGTAGCAGAGATAGTCGAAGTTTGCCTTTTCGTTGTAACTGCCTTCTTGGCCCTTGACGAACAGATCCAGCAATTGGTCAATGGCAAACGGAGATGTGGATAGCGGCTTGGGGATGTCGCGTTTGAGTGTGAGCAGTGTCTTGAGGTGTTCGTGTTTTGTGAGGTTTGCAAGCAGCATGGCCATTTCGTCTGCATTTTCCTCTTTTGCGTTTGTGATGCGCGAGTATAGGACTTCAAGGAATTGATCGTCTTCGGCGAGGTACTTGAGAACTTGTTCGTCGGAAGAAATGTTTACGAGGATTGTGAGGACGTTCTTTGCGATGGGAGCGTAGTCGCGGACGAGCAGTTTCATGTCCTTGACGGGTGTGAGGTCTTGGTATTTGAATAGCGAGGGTTGTGCTGTAGAGAAGCCGACGAGATTCTCGACCGCNTGTGAGGGTCGTGTTAGACGTGTCTCGTTGCTGTCATGTTCGAGGGCTGGTATACCAATTTGGCGGATCTGGGTGTTTCCATGGTGGAGGAACTCGACGAGCTACGGAGACGATCAGTCAGAGTTACTAGGTTGGGTCATGCGAGATACATACCTCTTCAAGTTCGGTAGGCATATTGGCAGTCTTGTGCTGTGATTGACTTGTATAGACTCAATGCGACAACTTTTTCTGTGCCCAATGACGGAGTCGAAAGCTCTAGAATTCTTATCTCCTATCGGCGAGTCTTGGCACATTTCCGCTACGCTGCCTCAGGGACCCGGCTCATCTCTGGCGGTCTCTCTCCCATACAAAGGGTAGACTATCTGGCAGATATGAAGCACCGCAACAAGATCAAACAAGAACTTCCGGCCATGCACGCACCTGTGAACACAACCACCCACCTATACATCCCGCCTCCCATTCCTCCCCCCCGCNNGTCAACCAAGACACCTCCAATAGGCCCCGCAAGTACATTCCCTAACCCCTTTTGAAAGTTCAACAGTCCAAACACCACAGGTGCAGTACCAACATCATCCGTCACCGAACTGGTGATTCTTGCCCAAATCGCCGTGAACCCTGCTGCGAAGAATCCATACGATATTCCAAAAACGATGAGCACCGGCAGAGATGCTGCCACTTTCCAAATGCCAAGCACCGCAATCGCTGCCATTGCCGTTGACGAGAAGGCCAAAATGTTTATCGACACTTTCCTATCCGACAGCATGCCAAACGTGAACTGACTACACACTTGGCATACGCTCATTGCCGCCAGCAGTATCGCTCCACTATGAGGTTTAAGAGACAGCGAAGATGCAAACGAAGGCAAGTACAACCCAGGAAAGAAGTACCCAAATCCTTGCAACGTGTTTGCAACAGAGTATATCCAAAACATTGGTTGGCGAAGAAACGCCCAGTTGATTTTTNNTCTGCTCGCAGTGTTCCCTGACACTGGCAAACGTCCTTTGAACAACGGTATCAAAGGACCTGTAAGCACTGTCAGTGCAACAGCTACTGCTCTCAACGTGATCCTGAATCCATAGGCGTCGAGCAGTGCTTGGAGCACGAATGGCATAAAACTTCCAGAGAGTCCGGATGCGGCGCAAAGGATGCCATAAGCCATGCCTCTCTTTGCAATCCAGTACTCATCCACCATCGAAAGAATGGGATAGTAGAAGATCAAAAATCCCAAGCCGTATGCTACTCCTTGGGATGCGATCAATGCTTCAAGAGAAGTGGCAAAGGAGCCTAACGCGAGACCGAGGATACAGATGGGCCCTAGTGGTAGTCAGTATATACCTTCCCTCGGAGAGGGAAAGAGTGCAAGTCAAAAGAAAGGAAACCACAAACATCCAATCCATATCATATACCGACGATACCGTGGAAAACGCTGAATGATCAGCATCATCAGCGGAGCACCTAGGTACCCCAATCCAGAAGCTACAGTGCCCACCACAGGTATGTACGGATTACCCACGAACTCGGGAGTTCTTGAGTAATAGTCCTGGAAGACGCCAAAGGAGAGAGGAAAGCCCCAGAGCAGTGTTTCAAAGACGAATGCCGCCAGGAGAAGTCTCATNGCTGCAACGCCTCCATCCGTGGGTGCGAGGTGTTGTTCTACGGTGTTGGTGATGGGTTGCTCTGCGTCTTGTGTTGGTGAACTGGATATTGTATCGTTGCTAGACGCTGGCTGGACCACAGCTGACCGGGCCAGCCTTGGCTGTGTCAATTCTGTTTCGTTCATTTCACATTGAACCTGGTCAATATGCAGTACTATATACGCGAATGTCGAGAACTTGCGAGCTTTCCACACTTGAACTCAATTGTGCCATATCGACCCCCGCCCCGACGCAGGCACATGTTTGCCGAGGCTATCTTGCTTGAGGACGGGGACTGACTTAGCTCATATTGATTCCATTGCCTGGTCATCTCAGGCCGACATCAGTATGGTCCTGTCAGATATAAAAATCATGATATAATCGTGTTAGAGCACACTTAACACAGGATAAACATACGCCTAGGTACATAAGACCAGGGTGATGTCCTTAACCATGAATTCTGAATCGTCAATCCTCACTCATACACCCTGAATCAATGATTGTACGGCAGTACCGGTCTGCAGTAATTTTGAGAGTGTTCCATACGCATGTCATCATCAACAAGTACGGTGTTGGTGCGAATAACTGACCTATTGTCGTGGGCCCCCAGAATTCGAAGCTTGATTCAATCAAGATCCATCGCACAACTGAGTCATCAGATGGAAACGTATGCAGTAAATATGATATTGCAGGCATCAGACATCAGACACATGACCGATCCGATTACTTAGCCAGCTATTCCACGTCAAGAGCACGTCAAACCATCTCGTTGCTCGAAGACGAAGAATAAAAGATTGATTCCGTTTCATCGTCGTTTGCGACAATGAATCAAAAAAAGCTCAGCTTCCACATCTGAGCGCGAAAGGCTAGTGAGTTTGATTGTTTGCAGCAGTCTTGATCACCGAGTGCTAAAATGAGCTCCCCTCTACGAATGGACATTGGAAGGAAAAGAAAAAAGAAGAGCTCTCCCGGACAGGCTTGAACTGTCAACCTCTCGATAGCTGATTTGCAGTAATGCAGACCTAACAGTCGAACGCGCTAGCCAATTGCGCCACGGAAGATGTGAAAGCTGAGCTTTCTGTGGCTGTTGGATGTGGACTCCGCTGACTGCTGAAAATATAATACTAGATCCACGTCAAGTCAGAATCTCATGGAAGCATGCGACAAATCCTCAGATTGGTTGATCACTAGATGCGACAATGGCTACTTATTTTCGTCGAACACTTTCGTCACGACTTTTCCTGTCGAAGCCGTTGCTATAGATTCTCTGTTCTCAACAGCGTAATGAGCATCTATGGAGCATCAATCATATCAACATCACCAGTCTGTTTCTCCTGAGCCCTCCTATGCTTGCCTCTAATGACAATGCCATTCTCATCCGCATCGTCTGTGTCGCTGGAGTCAATTTTCTCAGCCATGATCGCGGCTTCTATCACGGTAGCTCTACCATCCTTCTCAGATCGATGCAGAGCCAGCGACTTTGGACTCAGACCTTGTTCCAGTGGATCGGCCACATCGAAAAACTTGCGGTAACTCCTAACTCCCTTCTTCTTTTCCGGACGACAACGAGACAATCCGTATCTGGCAACTTCTCCGTTCCAAAAGTCTTTTGTGAACATTTTCTTGCAGAAATCCATGTGCACTGGATATCGAGTGTCCCAGGTTACTGACCAATCGCGAGCTTGGCCTCTTGGGTACGGTGTCGTGCCTTCAGTACCTGGGTATCGTACAATGTTCAGACCATAGGGTGCCGACCCGTGTATGCCTGCTCCGTTTGGCTCGACCCAACCTGAGAATATCATGTTCTCGAGGTCGTAGCCAAGCTCGTTATATGGAAAGTCGCGTAGAAATGGTTCGGGGCCATTTTCGTCTCCTGGGTCTGTCAAGTGTTTCTGACATCTACCCACAAAGTGGGCAAATTCGTGTACGATGGTCACTGCGAGTAGATACCTGGTACGTAACCTGGCTGATGGCTCGTCGGTACCGGGTGACCAGGGCTGCGACCACCTCTGAGCTCCCCATCCGGGATCCTCGCGGAGTATCTGCATATACTCTCCGTTAATGCAGACCGCGCAGACTTCGCTATTCTTGCTCCATTTCGTCCAACCATGACTATCCATCTTGGCAAATCCCAGTATAATTTTCTCTCTCAGAGCCATCATCGCTAACAAAGTCTTCTCATAATCGTCCTTAGCTTGGGTCACAGCGTTGTCGTAATCCCACCGATGAAACTTCTTGCCGTGGGTCTTTTCGAGAATAGGATCGTCCAGTTTCGTGTAGTTGCCCATCACGCCGGCGAAGAATGGTGTGATTGCTGGATCGTCCAAGAACCGCGAGGCCAGCTCTACAGAAGGCAAAATGGCGTTCCAATCTTCGTCATCCAGAGTCTGGTCCCATTGACTGCGTTGCAGACAAGGATGGATATGGACTGGTTCTGCCTGCTCTAGGTGTCCTTTTTGTTTGTCCAACTTTCTAATAACAGCTCCGTGTCCATGGGCCTTTTTGAGTTCACCGTTTGTGGACTCCACGGTACAGTTGATATAGCCTTCGTCGTTGAGAGCCTTCAGCGTGTACTTTGAGACAAGACTTCCCAAGGCAATTGCATCTGGTCCGGCGGTAAATGGACGTAATCGCCCAGCTGGAGGCAATCTCGAAGCTGGGCGGATAACCGGCGGAGGACGTTTGGTTCTTGCCATAGTTGCTGGTTTTGACCTGCTGCAAAACCGAGATTGTGTAGATGATATCGTGTACTCGGATCTGGCGCTTTGGTGTGTATAAAGGCATGGTTGCCGGATCCGGCGTTCACATGCTTAGGGTAAACAAAGAAATAAAGACCAAAGCCCACATGGCATCACGAATGGAGGATTGCTGGACAAAGACGTTCAAAGGATCAAGTCGGTATGCCACAATCACTTACTGCTGGACGCTTTCTTCAAGTGAGTCTCATGTCGTGCGATACGGCGTCCTCGGCACGAGCAAAGGCGTCGCGAAACCGGGTAGCATTATTACGAAATTGCAGCCAACAGATAACGTTATGCTCCGTAGTCTTAAGGAATGCAGCCAAATCTAGTCGACGGCATGCGTGATGGAGAAGAGAGAAGATGCTGCCCCTCCTTGCCCTCATCGATCTGTCGCCGGTATGCAGTGCCAAGACTTCTGGATCGATCTCGTTCTTCCCTTGTTTACTTAGGACGGACACCGACTCTCTACACAAACATACCCAATCACAAATCTAGTCTTGGGGATAGAACATCACGCATTTCGAGCAGTCAACAGTCACCGGCATCACCATTCTCGGGTTGATCCAATTATTGTATACGCGCCGAGATACGAGTCCTATCACCAGCGCTTCGATGCGACGGTGGAGCAGGGCGCTAAATCAAGAAACCAAAAATGGCAACGCATGGCACTGGACCTTGTTCCAATCATCCAATGGATGATCGTCTGCGATGGCGGTTGTTTGTGCATTGCAAATGAGTTGTCTCTGGGTATGCTTCGCTGGAACCATGCAGCCGCTATCGATTTGCCAGCGGCTACGATGTCACCATGTCTTGCTGGCATACAGCTATAAGTTACATAAGGTAGGACTGACAAACATTGACAGGTATTCGTAACATCTCATTCTTTGATATTTCTTGATTTTACTGTAGCAGGTTCTACAACATCGTTCGCAATCATGGCCTCCGAGACCTTGTCACTCTTTCCCTCGCCTGTCTGTTCAATTCCTCCAAAGTCGTGTCTGAGACAAGCCGAGGACATTCACATGAGACGAAACACACCCTCGCCTGTACTCAGTTCGAAGCCATATCCCTCAGGAAAACTTCGAGGACTTGCTTTGCAGTTTACTCCTCAAGTCTACAAGCCCTCGTCCGTTCAGTCACTAGAATCAGTCGCAACTCCATCCTTCTCGAGCCCTGCATCGAGTCGCTCTCCAGAAGATACTAGTATGTTGAGCTCTTCCCCACCATCAGAGATAGCTGCGAGCACTCGAAGAAGGCCAGCCGTTGCTATCCGCAAGATATCAATCGACACCACTTCTAGCGACACACGTTCCGACTTCTCAGGACCAACGCTTGTGCGGTCCAACAGTTGCTCCTCAGCCCAACCGAGAGTCGTGTCGCCTCCCATCAAGTCAATGTTTCCAGAGTATGACCCGAGTCTGCCACTTTCGCAACAGCGATACTACCCAACAGAAAATCTGCCTCGACCAAGTCTTGAGCGTAGTGCAAACTATCATCATCATACTCTTGCAGACATGCCATCACCTACTTCGCCAACGCCTGCTGCAGGTCTCTCGCAGCTGCAAGCTTTGTGGAATGCTGCTAGTGGCCAGAACGGAGTGTTTCATTCTGAGAAGATCAAGTTGACTATGCACCGAGATGACATCGGTGTTGGCTTGACAGCGACTGAAGTACGATTAGGATCACGAGAAGGTCGTACACTCTACTCTGTGTCTCCTTCGGATGTATCGAGCGAGCTTACGGTTCGCCGACATCATCCAGCTAGGACTGGCATTGTGCCTGTCGCTCAGTTGGACGTAGCAGCTCTTCAGGAACACGCAAAGAACGAAACGACCATTTTTCCACAACAAGCAGCATTTAACGCACTGGAAGCAATAGCCACGACGCATAGAGGCAATGCTATCGCACAGTATGATCCTCGAGCATCGTCACCACAAGCTGCACAACTAGCGTTCGACGCAGTGGCCGAAGCCAAAGCCCACGAGTCTTGTCAACTTGTCAAGATCTCTCAAGGCGTCAGTGCATATGGCATTCAGGAGCACAGCTATGAGCTGAGACACGCACGTGCAGGAACCTTCGCTATCTCGATCGATGGCGCATTCGACTTTGCGACACGAAGCAATGCAAAGATTTATCTGCACCAGCCGACGAGTTCGGAGAAGCCACTGGCTAAACCTTCTAAGCTTGTTTGCCTTGACTTGAGTACAGAGACGCTGGAAGTTGATGTGGCCTCGTTCCGAAGGCTACAGAGCAAGTACATGATTGACAGCACGATATGTGCCGTTTTGGCTGTTGGGTTTGCGGAAAGCAGACTGGCTGAGACCAAAGCAAAAGCAGAGACGTTCGCAGCACCACCTCGAAATTCGAAGAAGATCAATGAAGCTCAGAAGAAGGTAAAGAACAGCCGCTGGCGGCGAAGCAAGAAGAATGGCAAGAAGGAAGTCGCGGATGAACAGGAGAAGCTGCCAAGCATGACTCGGGGTGTATTGTTTCTGCTTGGGTTCTCGTTTGAGGCGATAGTATGGCTGCTCGGGTTGGGGGTCAAGGTGTTGAGCAAAGTTATCGTTTGTGCCAGTGGGACTGTTAGCAAGAAGTGAGATGGTATATAATCGAATACGGACGAATACGAAGCATGATACGTTGAAGTGGAACAGGATTCTGGATGCGACGGGAGCTGACGCACCCCTTCCCCATCTTGGCCCCAAGGCTGATAAGTGATGAGGTGCCACTTCGAGTAACGATGCTCCTCTGCCAACACAAGACGACGAAAGAGCCGGATTGAATGGATTGGATTGTAATCAACACTATGATCTCATAATAACGCCAGAGTCACTCCTTTGCATGCCCGCCACAGGCAACCACGCCGCAAGTCGAACCTCTCCCCCATATCGCCGACGCCATGAGCGGCGAGGACCCTTACAAGAAATATGCCCATCTCCCTATTCCTTCGTACGAAGAGGCCACATCTTCGCGACCCTCATCCTCGAATACTGTCAACGAGACAAGCGATGAGACAGAACGACAAGGTCTACTAGGGAGGCAGCCTAATCAATCAGCCCGCAATGGCGCATACCGAGCACCCACCGCCGAGTCACCGCGCCCGAGTGAAGACAGCGATCTGTACTTGCCAGAGGTGAATGGTGAGAGCGATGACGATGACGAAGAAGCGNCCGTACGGCGAGACATGGAAGAGATGGAAATACTCGAGCCCGAATCTGCCACAAGTCGGCGGCGAGGTCAACTATTCGGCAAACTGTCCCAGACTTGGAGCAACCTACCCTCGTTCCGCCGCTTCGCAATGCCCAAATTCTCGTCGCTTCGCCAGCACCTCCCTACCATACCCGAAGAGTTTCGTCTCAGCTTGCCAGTCATTGCCCGTCTGTTCGGTCTCTTCACCCTCGCCGCTTTAATATACATCCTCTTCGCTCTCGACGTCATACCCAATGCTGGTCACATGGCCCAGCACTACGATCCAGAAAGCGTGCGCGCTAGAGTACAAGAGCAGGCTTCATTATCTCCGAATCGCATTGCCGAATACCTCGAGTACATCACCTCGTACGACCACGTCGCTGGCACTGAAGGTGACTTCTTCTTGGCCGAATGGGTTCAGGAGAACTGGCTTGCTCAACACCTGGACGATGTCAGGATGCACGAATTCTTTGTCTACATGAACTATCCCGAACCAGCCGGTCGCAATGTCGAGATTGTGTCTCCGCCAGACAGGAGGTGGACTGCTTTGCTGGAGGAAGAGTCGGTCTTTAAAGATTCGGGCAGGGAGAAACAACAGACACTCAATTGGCACGGCTATTCCAAGAACGGAAATGTCACTGGTCACTTGGTATATGCCAATGGCGGCTCGCGCGAGGACTTCCAACGTTTGAAAGATATGGGTGTGGATCTGAAAGGAGCTATTGTTCTGGTGCGATATTATCATACAGAAGCAGACCGTGGGATGAAGGTCAAGGCTGCCGAGATGGCTGGGGCCGCCGGATGCCTCATCTACTCGGATCCTAAGGAGGATGGTTTCTTGAAGGGCGCCGTTATGCCCGATGGTCCTTGGAGACCGCGTGATTCTGTACAGAGAGGATCTGTCGCTCTTTCCAGTCTGGTTATCGGAGATCCCCTTACGCCTGGCCACGCCTCACATGAGGATACCAAACACCAGGATATCAACGGTAACATTACTGGACTACCTCAAATACCTAGTTTACCCTTGGCTTGGAGAGACGCGCAACATCTGTTACAAGCCCTCAGAGGACATGGTCAAAAGGTTCCGTCTAGCGACTGGGAAGGCGGTGTGCCTGATGTCGAATGGTGGACTGGCGACACCAACTCTCCAGTGGTCCGCCTTGTCAACAACAACTTCCATACCGCCAAACAACGCATCTGGAACGTCCATGGCTTAGTTCAGGGCATGGAGACACCAGGCAAGAAACTCATCGTTGGTTCCCATCGTGATGCCTGGTGCTTTGGCAGTGTCGATTCAGGAAGTTCTCAAGCCGTTCTTATGGAGGTCGTTACCATCTTCGGTGATCTTATCAAACTCGGCTGGCGACCGCTCCGCTCCATCGAATTTGTTTCGTGGGACGCCGAAGAATACAATTTTGTCGGTTCTACTGAATTCGTTGAGGACAACATGGATTACCTCCGCAAAAATGGCGTTGGATATCTGAACGTCGATGTTGGAGTTTCAGGCCCGAATTTCAGAGTCGCTGGATCGCCGCTGTACAAGAAAGCCCTTATGCACGTCCTCGACCGTGTCACCGATCCATACAAAAACGTTACTCTACGCCAGCTCTACGACGAGAGAAACCAGAAGATCGACGGTCTGGGTGCAGGGTCCGATTACGTGCCTTTCCAATACATGTCTGGCACCTCATCTCTGGATTTTGGCTTTGAAAGCGACGATGGTGAACAAGGATACCCATACCACTCTTGCTATGAAACCTTCGAATGGATGACCAAATACGGAGACCCAGAGTTCCAGTACCACAAAACACTTGCCACAGTGTGGGCACTCTTGATCTTGGAAATCGCAGATCGACCAATCATTCCCTTTGACCTAAACGACTACGCCGCTGCGATGAATCCCATCGTTGACGAGTTGGAAAAGGATGCCAAAAACACGGCTTCAAAGCTCAAAACTGACCTCAACAGTACGCCGTTTAGTGTACAGCCACTAAGAGAAGCAGTAGATGTCTTTGTTGCCAAAGCAAAAGAGTTCCACGAGTTTGATGACATGTGGGCGAGCAAAGTGCTTGCCGGCAGTGGCGGCTTTGAAACCAATGCATATGCTCTCCAACGCATTGAACATAATTCACGGGTCACGAATTTCGAGACCGAACTTCTTGACTTGCCTACTACTGGAGAGGCGGGTCCCTATGGTGTAAGTGTTTTTCCTCCTTTTTCTTCTTTACAAAAGCATCAATGCTGACGCATGAGCGAAACACAGGTTCCTGGTAGAGAACAGTACAAACACGTCATCTTTGGCCCACAGCTCTGGGATGGGTATGCAGCTGCTTATTTCCCTGCTGTCAGAGATGCAATGCAAGAAGGGAGATGGCTAGATGCGCAAGGGCAGCTTTTACGTGCCGCTAGAATATTGAGACAGGCTGCTGAGAAGTTGGTTGCATAGAGTCTTCTACTGAGGCTTTTTTTTTCTTTCTTTTCTTCTGTGCATACTTCTTTCCTGTTTTCGCTGTTTTGGTATAGCATTGTGGCATTTTTTGGAAGGGAGTGGCGGTCTTTTATTAGAATGTTATGGATTACATCATTTCATCTTCCTCTTGCTTGAGAAATTGCTTTCGTGAGAAAGGAAGGAGCGATTCATGGGAAAATGTCTTCGCGGAGATAGGGAAGGGGCTACTTGAGGGCAGACCGGATGTGCTCTAAGCAGGTAAACCCCTACAAACATGATAATGACTATAGAGAAGACATCTATAAGCTTCACAACAAAAAGCAAAGTCCGAGCATTGGTGACAGCCAGATGAAAGATGTAAAGGGAAAAGGCGATGAAAGTTTGATCGTTGGAGCCATGAGGGCAATAAAGGTAATGCCTTTGACATTCATCGCGACTGCCAGTTTCTCGACTGGCATGTTCGTCTTCAGTATTGTTTGCGGGGGATCTAGAACACTGCTCAAGTTTCTATAGTATGCTGCAGAGATACACAGTCCTTTCCAGACACAAAATGAGATCCACAGAGAGCCTGTAAAATCACGACTCTGTATCGACACTATTCCTTCCTGTAGAGTGTTTTGCATCGCCATAGCTATCATCGTTAGGGGGAATTGAGTTGGGACAGTCTATAGCCCACGAGGATAAGGTTAGAGAGCTAGCCGGATAGCAATGGTAACGGTAAGTGTTTTTGTGTTAGATGCAATTTCAAACACAAAATCTAGAGAACAACTACTTTGTCGTATTGTAAGAAGGTGTTGCAGGACACCTATTGGGTGCATTCGTGTATAGGAGCAGAATATTCCAGTGGAGGGTATAAGTTCAAATTAGTGATTATAAGTTTGTACAGGAGATGACCCTATGACTCCGAAATGAGGCCATATCAACTGTCTTCAATATATGTTCTGTCCTCCAACATTGTTCAGCACTGTTGTTACGCGTAAACTCCTGGATATCCTGATATACTACACACTAATCAGTTCGAATTCGAGATTGAGCAGTCATATATGACTGATCGATTTCATCCAACTCAAATAGTCATTCTAGCGAATCTTGCTCAAGCAGCTGTACTCCACTTCTGAACATTGAGCTTCTCGCCAATCGCACTGGCAGTGAGCTCGAGTAGCTTGCGCAGAGCACCCACCGCGGTCTTTTCTTCATAACCAAGGGTCGAGTATATAGGGTGACCTTTGTCGGCAAAGACGACTGCAGTCCACTTCTTGGCAGTATGGCAAGTAGCCATGGAGGGATCTTTAAACTCGGGTTTGAGGACGCGCAGGTTGGCTGTATAGAATCAGGGCTGAGTTCTTTTGGACAGTTCATCTGGACGCATACCGAGAATTTGAGCGTGCAGGCCTGGGATGGAGACTTCGTTGAATGGGTCAAACATCATGATTGTGTTTCTGAGTCGTAGGTAAGGCGTCACAACGATTTGGAAAGGTGGTAATGACAGATCTCGGGCTTGAGGATGAGTAGTATAAAAAGAGTGACGTGAAGAGCAATGCAAAGAGCATTGTCAAAAGAATGAAACGTGGACGAGAAATGTAAAGAGTAGAAGATCAAGGCACATAAAGTACTTCAAGAACGCTTACAAGTGGAGCAGTGAATGGCAACACCTCAATAATATTTTAGGCAGCCGGAGAGTTTGAAGTTCAACAATAGATACAAAAGGCAACATCAAGGCAGACACACCCATCCCATGGACAAGAACAAGTGCTTCGGAAGAAGAACAGCTCAAGTGAAGCAGCGATTGGAAACACTTTGACAATGCTTCAGGTGGCCGATTTTGTTTCACCAACTCTTCTAGTGCGTATGGTGATGTTTCTTGTATGCTGCTTGGTCACACACACATGCAGCCATGAACAACAACATGATGGAAGTCGAAACCAGTGACATTAGGTCGACAAGCACTTGCATGAGAGGTGGAAGAAAGCGGGAGGTTCTAGCTCTGAAGAAGTACGCATAGGTGAAAGCGGAGGACCATGGTTCGAATCAGACATCTAACCCAGATGATGAGTCCTTTATTCCAATTGATCTTGCAAAGGTCATGCAAAGATGAGAACAACCTATGAAACAAGACAATGAGTGTTAAAATTCGAAGCTAAGGAAGGTGCACCTTGGATGCACCTTCGTCTCAGCAAGTGCATGACTTAATCGACATCCATCTCTCTGTCTCTGCAATCATTTTCATCTCCATTTTCCTCCTCACTCTCTTCCATCCCATCCTCGGTAGTATCCTGCATGACCGCATCCTCCGTCACGAGCTCCAATAAACCCTTCAAAGCAACCTCAAGACTGCGATGTCCCATGCTCGAATATCTGACTTTCTTATCTCCATCGAGAATATGAGCATAGAATTCTTGGTTCGTGTGTGACGTGACGATTGCCGCTTTTAGTGATGGATCGAGGAGTGAGAGTTTGGCTATGAAAATTGTTAGAAGATGGTAAGGTGGAATGACATGAACTTACAAACGATTTGTGAGCCAAGGTCATCTGTTCTGTCTTTCGCTGAGAGTGGAGTTGGTTGAGGAGGTTGTGATGGTGCTTTGTTGATGGCGGTAAAAGTTGGGGGAAGAGTGTTTCGTGTGCGAAGGGAAAGTCTGTTTGAGATATTCATGGTTTGAGCGTTATGCATATGCGCACAATGGTGTGGATGTCGCGTTGACAAGAATTGTGTTCAGAGCTGAAGACTGTTTGGGTGTGGATGAAAAGCGAACTGTTGACAGAGTGCGTCGTGTTTGTTGTGAATTCACTTCCTTGAAAGTCGCAGTCACTCCTCCGTCGTTTGCTCCTTCTCTGGCACTCTCGCAAGTCCAACTTCTAATATCAGCGTTCCTTCATTCCAGGTGATCCTTGAGCTTGTGCCAAAGGATGTAGCTGATGCGTTTGAGTAAAGACTCCAAGGCAGTCTCTTTGGTTTCGTACCATCTTCTGAGCTTGCAGCGGACCTTCAAATTCTCAAGGATACTAGCTTGCCACTTGCCATGTTGCGAGTGAACCGTAACGATTTCAGCGTTCGAACCCATCCCCAGAGCGTTCATGTTTGCTGTTCTTGCGTAAGCTAGTGCAGGATATCGGGAAGTGATGTTCTTACCAGTAATTTGAGCGCGCAGGCCAGGATGCTGCTTTCAGTGGCCATGGTTTAGCTGCGTAGCCTGTGGCGATAGTGGTTTGGTGTTATGGCGGCGCAAGACGACCCGATTCTTGCACGATTACGTGTGATAATGTGGGCTGTTTGGGGTGAGCGGCCGTTTGGTGAGTGAGAAGAGATGTTTGAAGTAGGGGAGTTTGGATTGAATCAATATAACAGTAAAGGAAATGTATATGCATCGAACAGAAGTAAAAATCTTCGTAGCCAAGTCTTTTGTACATCGTAAACAAACGCCATCGCTATTGAGACCTTATATGTTATGTTGTTTTATGTTTCTTCTCGCTCTACACAATCCTTCGTGGAGGAGAACAAGTGCGGGAGCTGGGTTATCATGTCGAAATGGTGATCGATTACTGGTTGCCGAACATGGACTGGACCATCTCGCCACCTCGAATGGCGAGGACGGAGAGGAGAGAGTCACTCAGCTGTAGAAGCATTGTCAGCAAGGATGATAAAGTCGAAGGAAGAGCAGAACTTACACCGTGGGTACCCTCATTGCATCCTTGCAACCAGACACCAGAGTCCTTGGCTACTGCGCCTTGCTCGAACTGAACCTTGTATTCGCGGTTGACGGTCCACTTCTGGCCAGGCTTGTCGCCACCAGGCATCATGGGTCTGACCTTGGACAACAACTGCTCATGGTGATCTCTTCTGTATCCGCTAGCGATCATGACCAAATCCACATCCAAAGACTCCTTTGTCGAGCTCTTGCGACATCTGTAATTTGCAGTATCGTTTCTGATGTGTAGACGCACACGGTCGTTGGGCAGCTCGGTCACGGACTCGACTTCGCGGTAGTTGAGCAGACTCTGGGGCCAATTTGCTTCGTCGTCACCGTGAACGAGACGTTGGGTGTAGAGGCAGTCGTACATGTGTTCCAGCAGCTCGAGGCGGACGACACCGTAGTTGGTGGCCTTGTCCATCTTGATGGCGGCGGCGCGGACGGCAGGGTCCTGGCTGAAGGTATCATCGGTGCGTTCGGGGTCGAAGACTTCGTTGACAAAGGGCGAGTCGTCTGAAGGTCTCAGAGCGGCGCCTCTGATCAAGAGGTAGGCTTTGGAGTTGGGGAATTGGCTGGGTAGGTTCATAAAGATCTCGGCAGCTGACTGGCCGGAGCCAATGACGGCAATCTTGAGAGGAGCGTCACGGTCGCGGAAAATGCGGGAAGAGAGGGTCCAGTACTGGGACGAGTGGACGACACGAGGGTGGTGTTGAGGGAAGGCTTCCGGGATCCTGGGGTGACCTCCTACAGCAACGACGACACGTTTCGTGCGGCGGGAGCTGAGCTCTTTNGTGTGCATGTTGCGAGATGTGATTGTCCATGTTGTGACAGCCTCTGCACTCTTGGTGTCAGGCGAGATATCGACCACCTCATGACCGTATGAAACCAGGTTCTGGAACCAGCCGGCGCACCAGCGTAGGTAGTCCTCAAACTCGATGCGGCGCGGCAGGAAAGTGCTGAGGTTGGTGAATTGCACAAGACGATCGTTCTCGTGCAGGTAGTTGAGGAAAGTGAACTCGCTGCGAGGGTTGCGCATGGTGGCCATGTCCTTGATGAAGGAGATTTGCATCTTGGCTCCAGGAATCTGCATGCCGGCGTGCCACGCGAAGTGTTCCTGTCGCTCGAGGAAGGCGACCTTGGGCTGTGTTCTGAGTTGTGGCATCTGCTTGCCCGTCTGCTTGGTCGAGTCGTGGAGGGCAACAGCGATTGCTAGCGATGCAGGACCGAAGCCCACGCAGATTACATCGTGTACTTCGTTTTGCGGCGTCGATTGGAGGTGTGTTTGGAATCTGGAGCCGATGCGCTGTGGGACGCTCTCGAGAGCCATTTCGGGTGTGTCGGCGTGAGGTGCCATTGTGTCGTCTATCGTTGTTGCTTCTTTGGCTTGCGTCAGTCGGGACATAGGGTGCTTTTCGTCTTGCGTGGATTGTGAGCTCGAATATGCATAAACGATATGCCTCCAGTGGTGGTCGAGGTCGTGCTTCTCAGAGGTACAAAGATGAAGCCACTCAGCCGGGGAAAGTGTGCATGAGAACTTACCGTGCCTGAGTTATGATCGTATTTCGAATACCAAAAAGTATATCCACGCAACCTTCAACCTTCGAGCTGATGTATGACGACAGGATCGTTGTTCGGACACAAGGAAGACGTGAGACAAGGAGGCACGAGGGAGAGGAAAGAATGTCGCCGACAGAGGTCAATTGGTTCTACATATCCATGGTCTGATTTTCTGCCCTTCTCGTCGCAAGCTCGGTCGAGCAGGGCCAAAGCAGGGGACATGTCATGTTGGCTTTCGCGCCGTCAGTGCTGCAAAGCTTCTGCCACGGGCAAGACCATCATGGTCGCTTGGCGGACCCTCGCGTGGGAACGGCGACGTGAAAATTCTGCATCTAATCTGATGAAAGTAGTCTAATCAGATCATTCATGACTGATCAAGGATCAATTCGCGAGCTAAGAGGGACCACACGGCGGGGCACCACCATCGCCCAAACCACGGACCTCTCGCTAGCTGCAGCGCGCCCTGGCCGTTTGTCTTGTCACGAGAATGAAAGTGATGCGTTGTCATGATCCTCGTCGACTTCTTCGACAATTCCTGGAAGGAGCGTCTATCGATGTTTGTCCCCTGTCGACGATTGGATCAGGACGCAGCCAGACAACAAGGTCACACCAATCCCTTACGCCTTGAACATCACTCTTCACACCACCATTGATCATCGTTGCCATTGACTCTCGCCGTCATCGGAGCGTGCCCTCGACTCTACGCAAACCGGTGGCGCCCGAAGTAAAGTTATCAGATCCGCTTTCAATCAACGCACAGACGGTGAGCCACCTGCCATCAATCTGTCCCACCACGCCATTATCGCGGACAGATCTCGCGGTTTGTTGTTTCTGTTGGGACTCTGTTCAAGCACATACATCGTTCTTGACGATGGGTTGTCGGTCATGGCCTGCCTCGTTCGTGTGCAAGAGGAACAAGTCATCTAAGTTTGTAGACTTGACACGGCTATATTTTTGACTCAAATGATACCTGCCTAATTTGGGACCACTTTGATCCTTCCAAACTCCTCGCTAATAGCTTTGACTGAAAGAAAAGACTCAGATATGCAGAATGTAGACTTGTGTGACCAATAAGAGGAACTGAGACGAGACCACTGTACCTATGCCTATGCCAGTGTCTGCGCCTTGACCATACTCGCATACAAACCTCCTTGTGCAACAAGCTCAGCATGGCTTCCAACCTCCAGCACACGTCCATCCTCAAACACGAATATCCTGTCAGCATTTTGTACTGTGGATAGTCGATGTGCTACGACGATCGTAGTCCTATCTATACTGGCTCCGTCAACAGCTTCTTTGATCTGTTGCTCCGAATGGGCATCCAGAGCAGAAGTGTACTCGTCGAGCAGAAGTACTTCAGGCGATCTGATCAGTGCTCTGGCTACGGCGATCCGCTGCTTCTGCCCACCAGACAGTTTTGAGCCATTAGTGCCGCACTCTGTGCTATAGCCTTCAGGCAGACTCATGACAAAGTCGTGGATCCCACACTTGGTACAGATCTTTTCAATGTCGGCTTGTGTTACGGATTGACCTGGCGCTACACCCAAACCGATGTTGTACGAGATCGAGCCAGGGAAGAGATCCGGCTCTTGGGGTACCAGCCCCAGTCGGCCTCGGTGTTGTGACACGGCGACCTCACGGATGTCCTGTCCATCTAGAAATACACTGCCAGTCGTAGGATCGTAGAAGCGTTGCAAAAGCGAGAGAATAGTCGACTTCCCTGCTCCGCTGGGGCCGACGAGGGCAATGAACTCTCCTGGTTTGATGGAAATGCTAACATTTTGCAATGCTGGGTGCTGAGATTTGGAGGGATAGCATAAACTGACATTCTTGAACTCGATCCAACCTCCTGAAGCTAGATCTGCCTTGTCTGTGAAAGTTGATATAGAACCGGCAGAGCTCAGCGAATGTCCAGGTTGCTTAGTGGCGCCATCCACAATTGATGGTTGCTGGTCGTGAAGCCCAAACACGTTGCGAGCAGCCGCTCCAGCTCGTGACATCTCTGGGGACAAGCTGAATATCTGACCAGCACTCTGTGCAGAGAACAGAAGTGCAGGCAAAACAATGAAAAAGTCTAGCTGGTTGTAGGTGCCGTTCCTTACTTGTCGAGCTCCCCACCAGTATGCAAGGGCATAAACGAAATAGGTAATCGAGAAGCTCAAAGCGAGCAAGGTGTTTGATATAAGGGTAAACCGGATACCCTTCTCGTAGGGCTCTTTGACAGCTGCATTGAATGCCCGAGACACCCCGCGCTCCCTGCCCAGAGAAGCAATAGTTCTGATGCCTCTGCATGCCTCGGCAGCGATGGAAGCAGCATCGTTGTATGCAGATCTGTGTCTACTCTCCGCAAGAGCGAGCACGCGTAGTCTGACGTAGCCAGCCATTACCATGACAGGAACAGCAGCTAACAGAACAACAGCAATTTTCCAAGCCACGACATGAGCAAGGATTATTCCACCAGTGACCGATACACACACTGTGAAGATGGTACCGATAGCCACTCCAGATAAACAAGCAAGCTGACCCGCATCTGAGTTGAGACTGCTCATGAGCGAAGATACCGACTGACCAGAGAACCACTGCATATCCTGTCGTAGAATGCTGGCAAGAGAGATATGTTGGACTTTGGCCACAAAGTGCGAAGAGACGACACCAAAGCAGCATCCGTTACCAGCGTAGGAGAAAAAAAGCAATCAGTGCTATGATGAAAAACATGAGCGAGAAGAAGTCTGCTCTATCGCGGAAGTTCGGACTTTCTAGGTCGTTCAATACAGAAATGAGATTACCGAAAACGATGGCTTCGCCGAGGATGATGCCGCCTGATATAATAGAGGCAGCAAGACCCAAAGCAACGAGCGGGGAGTCGGATCTCGCTAAGCTGAGACACCTTAGAAGGAGCTTCCACACCCCAGCCTTCTTGGCTGGTGTGGCTGTCTTCTTCGCCTCGGGGATCGTAGTTTCAGAGCCAGTGGAGGCGGACGTGTTCTCAGACTTTGATTCTTTATGTATCGTTGTCTGACTGGTGGTTGCCGGGGAAACCTCTCCAGAAGATTCATCCGAGTCATTGAGTTGTTGAGCCTGAATGAGGTTGTTGTAGGCGCCCCCTAGTTGCATGAGTTCGTCATGGTTACCTTGCTCAATAACTTTGCCTGCACCCATGAGTACAATGTTGGGCGAGTCTGACACAGTAGAGAGCCGGTGGGCTACCATGACCACTGTTGTGCCTGTTGCAGCCACACCTTTTACTGCATTCATGATTAGCCCCTCGCTGTTTGCGTCAAGAGCTGCAGTTGGCTCATCAAGCAGAAGCATAGAAGGTCTTTTGACTAGAGCTCTGGCCAAGCAAATCCTCTGAGTTTGCCCGCCCGAGAGTTGCGTGTAGCCGCCGTTGCCGACACGAGTATGGATACCGTGTGGCAAGAAGTCGATGAAGTCCAGATTAGCAGCTTTGGCAGCCTCTGTGCACCTCTCTAATAATTCTTCCTCTGATAGTGTATGTTCACCAAGCCCATAACTGATGTTTTCGAGGACTGAGCCAGAGAACAAAACAGAGTCTTGATCAACCAATGCTGTATATCTCCTCAGACTTCTCACATTGAAGTCCTTGATATTATGACTTCCTATCGTCAATTGGCCAGATGATATGTCGTAAAGGCGTAAAAGCAAAGACACAAGAGTGCTTTTGCCACAACCACTTGTACCGACGATGGCATTCATCTGTCCAGCTTTTAGAACGAGATTGAGTCCGTCCAGGGCATGCGCTGATGTTCTCGCAGGGTAAACAAACGTAACTTCCCGGAACACCAAATCAGCTTTCATGTCATCCTCGGTGGCTTCTTGTCCACTTTCGGAGTAGACGTTAATCTCTGATTGCGGTTGGTTAAGAATCTCGTAAATACCTTCACCAGCAGCTGCAGCACTAGCAAAGCAGCCTAGAAACGGTCCAAACTGACCAACGACGAACGATGCATCTATGATCAAGAACACCACGGCATATACGGTACCGGCATTGTTCGTGCCAGATTCTGCGGCCAATCGTGAACCTTCCCAGAACGCAAGCGCATTGGCACTGTACGCGGTGAAGTATACCAAGCCAAGCATGAGTGCAGCAGAGACGGATTTTCTGACAGCGTATCTTGCAGATAATCTGAGCAGGCGGTAGTGTTCTTTGCTAAGGTTCTCGGCCATTCCAAAAGCTTGCACAACCTTGACAGCATGGATAGCACTCTCGGCAATTCTTCCAGCGGCTTCTGTATACTGGGTGGCTGCTTTTGTGTACTTTGCAATTCGTGATGACCCGAAGACAACGATCAACGTCATGACAGGTATGACGGCGGCAAAGAGAATTCCAGTGAGCTTGGCGTTCAAAATGAAGCCGACGACAAAGGCAGCGACAAAGTAGCTGATTGACTGGATGAAGATCCCAACTTTCTCGGATGTCCCTATCTGTATCGCTTCAATCTTCTCAGTCAAGAGATTTGTGATATCCGGATCATTGACGTCAAAGTATGCTTGTTCGAGACCGAGCAGGCGCTCAACAAGGGTTTCTCGAAATCGGCGTGAGATTCTTTCTCCCGTCAATCCCCAAGCGATTGCGTAGCCAGTCGTGACAACGAAATAGCCACAAGCGACGCCAATAAGCTGGTATAGCCTGTCGCGCAAGACGTCTTCCGGAGGGGGGAACGAGGTGATAATCTGCCCGAAGATGTAACCAATGATGGGCAGCGGAGTACCAGCAGCTATCGCCAAGAGTATACCAGCCCACAAGATGGCTTTTGATTGTGCATCGTTGACCAGTTTGAAAAGATCCAGATAAGAACTCTTGAACGGATTCTTGCCAAAAAGTTGCTGAATCCATTTTCGAGAGACGAAGACGAATTCGGTATGCCATGATCGTGGTTGAGCGGAATTCATAGTCGTGGTTTCGAAGTTGCGCTCCGCTTCGGCGTGGGCTATCGAGGGTTGCGGATGTCCATGATCAGATGAAACTGTCCGTCCGCCATTGGCAGAGGACATTGTGATTTGGGAGACCCTTGGAGATATGTATCTCTTCCCAGGGATGCAAGCAAGATGCGTTTTCGCCAGACCTCGCAGAGGCTTTTCTGGGACCAGAATTCCTTTTTCTTTAAAACTTCAAGCCTCAAAATTCTCCGTAATTGTAAAGTGACAACACCTCAGAGAATACTTTCAATACGTGGCATAATCAATAGGACCTTGCGCACATTATGGTGAGGAAGAACTTTTCTGGACAAACCACCAGACAATATGCAGTCGAGGAGTGTTGAACCTCGATACCCGAGGCTTCCTGGGCACACCCACGCTGTTCTTACCTTGTCCATCGTGCTGCCCGATGATCACATACAGCTTCGGCAAGTCGGAAGATATTGTGACGCGTAAAGGCGGCGGCTTAGCAGATGTGTCAGAGAGGAGACAGTGACATATTGTCAACTGTCAACCATCGGGCTAAGAGAAGCGTTGAAGCATCGCCGGCCACTGGAAGCGTGGTTTTGGTGACGGTGAGCAGCCGAGACAGGCTATCAGATGCGCACGAGCTGATCCTGTCGTCAGCGGCTAACTGATCGTCATAATGTTTAGATTATCATTATCAGATTGATCAGCTGATAATCAGATAAGTTTTTGCCCAAGTAATTGGCATCTCAAACATGTGGATGGGATCCTTGTAAAGAATTTGTCGGCCAAGAAAGTAGACGACTTTATTAGCGCAACGCGACAGAGAAGGCGCGTCCCCGAGTGATTCTTGCCCATCTTGTCGCTGAGACGCAAACGCGAAGATCATGTACTCTTTGAATTTGGTCCGCGCAGCCTTATTAGTGACATGCCGTTTGCCGGCACAAAATTCACTCGTTCGATACCAAATTTTCAGATCTAACGACCACATCATGACTGCTTCCGTAGACCCAGCTGGCTGCCAAAAATTGTCATCAATCATCCGCAGATGCGAGGAACAGTTGTAAGTGAGATTTTGCTGCCCGCCGACCTCGGCATGTTCCTTCCTCTGCAACAGCGCACGAACGCTGCCCTAAGCTCGCTAGTGCCAGGCTTAATCTGGTCGTGATGGAAGTCGTCAGTCTCTCGATCGCCGGCTGATTTTTCCTCGTATAGATTTCGCGTGACTGCACGAGTCGACATGGTCTAACACATGGATAGCACGCCGCCGCTGAAACAAGAACTCATGCAAAGTTGACTCGCACCAAATTCTTTGTGTTAATCTATACTCCACGCTCACACTGGAGTGGTTGTTTGCCTCTTTCGATCTTGACCTGGTATGACAAACACTTCTGGTGTCCTGCCTCTTGCTTCTATTATAGATTTCTGGATCACAACTTACACCCTTAATTGATAATATGCCGGCACGAATTCTTTCGGCCGACGAAACAACACTCAAAATGGACGAGAATCTTTCTATACTCAATCCGGTTCCCAGCAAATTGGAAGGTCCTGGGCTACTTCACGAACTTATATCAGGTCCTGAAACTCCCGGAACTGCTCTGGAATACCTGGACACGGATGGTGAGACGAGCACATTATCCTATTCGGACTTGCACAGGAGGTCAGAGCATCTAGCATGGCGATTGACCCAAGTCAGTCGTAGGGTCTCGCAGAAGGGCCTTGGTATTGTGCCCATCTATATACCGCAATGCACATATCTGTACATTTCGCAACTGGCGATCCTCAAATCAGGAGCTGCATTCTGTCCCCTGAATCTGGACGTCCCAGAAGAAAGATTGAAGTTCATATTGCAGGACACTTCGGCTAGCATTCTTCTAACGACTACTGCTATGCGTCCAAAACTTCCGGATCTGCAGGGTGTATTGGTTGTTGCAGTGGACGACGAGCAGTCCGAACTCCAATTCGACACCGAAGGCTTGAGAATGCTCGGAGATGAGATGGCACATCCCGACACTTCTTCTCTTGCCTACATCATGTATACCTCGGGCAGTACTGGACTCCCAAAGGCGGTCTGTCTGTCGCATCGGGCAGTGACACAGTCTCTTCTGGCACATGACCGGTTCATCCCAAGTTTCTCCAGATTTCTGCAGTTCGCAAGCCCAACGTTTGATGTCAGTGTGTTTGAGATATTCTTCCCTTGGTTTCGTGGATCTACACTTGTCTCAGTCGAACGCAGCCGCCTGCTTAACGATCTTCCTGGAACGATCACATCATTGGACATAGATGCCGCCGAGCTTACGCCATCAGTCGCTGCTAGTCTGGTTCGTACAAGGGACAATGTTCCTAATTTACGGACACTCCTTACCATCGGTGAGATGCTCAACACCCAGGTCATCCAACAATTTGGCGGCTCGGACGACGAGCCCGGTATCTTGTATGGCATGTACGGCCCTACCGAGGCTGCCATCCACTGTACTCTACAGCCAGACTTTGCGATTGATCTACCTGCCGGCACTATCGGAGTTCCTCTAGACACCGTCTCTTGTTTCATTGTCGAGCCAGCAGCATCTGCCGAACGCGCTAGCAATATCGAAATCTTGCCAATAGGTGAGGTAGGCGAGCTCGTTGTAGGAGGACATCAACTAGCAGATGGGTACCTGAATCGGGAGGAACAGACTCGAGCTGCTTTCGTGGTACATCCGAAGTACGGTAGTCTCTACCGCACTGGCGACAAGGCACGCCTTCGTCGTAACGGCACACTGGAATGCCACGGACGCATCTCGAGTGGCCAGGTCAAACTCAGAGGTCAACGTGTCGAGCTAGGGGAGATTGAGCATGCTGCATCAAAGGCTGCCGGCTGTCACGCAGTAGTTGCAAGCGTCATATCAGGTCTCTTGATACTTTTCTGCATAGGTGATTCCGGCAAGGTTTCCTCCGAGGACATCAAGCAAGCCTGTCAAAAGTGGCTCCCAGCTTACATGATACCTAGCGATATTGTCTTACTCCATGACTTCCCTTATCTTCCATCAGGTAAGGTCAATAAGAAGAGGCTGGAGGACGATTACAGCTCCAAAGCCCCACAGTCGATATCGGTGGCTCCCGATGCATCTGCGACTGCTAACAACGTAGCGCGCATAATCCAAGACGTGTTAGGGGTTCCGATTGATCACAACACTGAGCTCAGCGCTGCGGGACTGGATTCTCTTAAAGCCATTCAAGTTGCTTCCANNGAGCTGCGCAAGCACGGTTACTCTAATGTTGGAGCTCTCGAGCTGCTTTCAGCATCTAACGTCATTGATCTTGATAGACTTCTTCAAGCTAGGGCCGTTTCCGATGGTGGCCATGAAGATGATACTGAGCGATGGAAGACCATTGCCCGTGAGCTGAGAACGGACGTGGAATCAACCTTGCAATCCAGTACAGCTGCAAGCGACATGCAAGACATTGTACCATGTACGCCACTCCAAGATGCGATGCTGGTTGAAACAGCAAGGCAACCTCAAGCATACTGTAACGAGCTTCGTTTGTCAGTGGCTTCGGCCATGCCTATCGAAAGAGTACGTCAAGCTTTGTCCTCATTGGCTAAAAAGCATACTGCCTTGAGGTCTGGCTTTTGCACATCTGGAGTTTCTCACTGCTCCTACGCTCAAATCGTATGGAAGACTATGGCTGCCTCTCAATTCGTATGTGTCGAGTCATGGGATTCTGGATGGTCTATCACAAACCAAGAGATGCTTCTGCGACCACTTCGTTTTCAATACAAAAGGTCTGGTGCTGGCGCGGAACTCTTAATTAATATACACCATGCATTGTATGATCAATGGTCAGTGGAAGTTGTTCTTGATGATCTGGAGGACTTGCTGCAAGGCAAAGAGATACCAGAAAGACCTTCGTTCGGAGCCGTCAATAAGTTCTTCAGTGTCAAGAGGCATCAAGATCAGACATTGCATCTCGACTTTTGGAGGGACCATCTCTCTGAAGCCACTTCCGGTCGATTACCGAATCTATCACCAAGACTAATGCCATTGCAGCCTCTCCAAAGTAGGGGGCATACCATCGAGGTGGATATGAGGTCACTACATCAAACTGCACAAGCGTGTTCCTGTAGCCCACATGTTTTCTTCCAAGCTGCATATGCTGTCCTTCTTGGTTCTTACATGGGCACAGAGGACGTGATCTTTGGTACAGTCTTCTCCGGAAGGACCTTACCAATCATCGGTGTTGAAAGTATGGTAGGACCTCTCTTGTCAACTCTTCCTTCACGGATCAACACCGCGGAATGCCGAAAGTTCAGCGATGTCCTGCGTCGCCTTCAAGGTGACAATCGTGACATCATGCAGCACAGCACGACACCTTTGGCAGATGTCAAGAAGGCCTGCGGAATAACTCCAGGTGAGGCTCTATTCGACAGTATTTTGGTCTGGCAGGAGACTGCTAGACCGAGCGCACGAAACCAGTCGCTGTTGAATTTAGTAGAGGCTCATGATTATCTGGAGTTCAACTTAACTCTAGAACTCGAGCCTACTCAGAATGGTGTGAAAACAAAGGCGACATTCCAATCGAGTGTTCTGCCATCGCAACATGTTGAAGTTTTGTTGCAGCAACTTGATGCTTTGGTCAAGATCGTGGTAGCACGACCTCATATTCTTATGAGTGAGCTCAGCAGTCAACTTCCCGCCTCTGTCTTGTCAGTCGCAAACCCTGACCCACAATTCTTCACGTATAAAGCCGGCCTTGGATCTGTTGTTGAAAGTCAGGCTCTGGAAAACTCCAATGACTTGGCTCTGGTCTTTGCACACGATCTCCGAAGGGGGACTTCAACAATCGAGAGCTTGACATATGGTGAACTCAACACCCGAGCAAATCAGCTCGCTAATCACATCATCTCGCAAGGCGCTAAGCCTGATGAACTTGTCTGCATCTGCATGGAGAAATCAGTGGCTCTGTACGTTTCCATTCTCGCCACTGTCAAAGCAGGTTGCGGATATCTCCCTCTAGTGCCAGAGACACCTGCCGCTCGAATCGGCCACATTCTTTCTGATGCCAATGTAAAGTTGTGCTTGACAGACTCCTTGACGACATCCATTATTGCCAATCTGGAAAGTTGCCATGTGATCAACATCATTTCAACCGACGTATCCAACCAAGCATGCACAAATCCTCAACTTGCTTTTGAGCCCGCCAGTATTTCATATGCTGTCTTCACTAGCGGAACTACAGGCAATCCCAAAGGAGTTCTCGTGACTCAGGAGAACTTACTCAGCAACCTCGAGGTTCTAAGCAAAATCTACCCTGTCCCGGAAGGATCTAGGCTGCTTCAAGCCTGTAACCAAGCTTTTGATGTCAGCGTGTTTGAGATCTTCTTCACTTGGTACACTGGCATGTGTCTGTGCTCGGCCTCCAAGGACGTTTTGTTCCGCGATCTCGAGAGCGCAATCAATGAACTTGGCATTACACATCTCTCTCTGACACCAACTGTAGCGGCCTTAACAGATCCAGCACATATTCCAAAGGTGAAATTCCTTGTCACTGCTGGAGAAGCCGTCACTCATCACGTCCATGGCGCTTGGGCTGGCAGAGGGCTTTACCAAGGCTACGGTCCGTCGGAGACAACCAATATCTGTACAGTGAATCCAGCAGTAGAGCCCAATCATGTCATCAACAACATTGGTCAGCCTTTCGTAAACACATCTGTATTTGTGTTAACGCAGGAATCTGACTTCCAACTGGTCCCTCTTGGTGGCTTAGGTGAACTTTGCTTCGGTGGACAGCAAGTGTTCCGTGGCTACCAAAACATGCCCGAGCTTACGGATAGTAAGATTATCAATCATCCAAAATATGGCCGCATCTACCGCAGTGGAGATCTTGGTCGGTTGCTGCCTGATGGGACGATCTTGATTCAAGGCCGTACTGATGACCAACGAAAGATCCGTGGTCAAAGAATTGAGCTTGGCGAAATTTCCGGAAGCCTACTCCAAGTTCCACATGTGCAGGACTGCGCGATCGAGATTGTCAAGGTTGCAGACAGAGAAAGTCTCATGGCCTTCTGGATCCCAGCCGGTTATGCCAAGGACGTGTATAAGGTACTCCAACCAGACAGTTCACTACAAGAGGCAATAGCAACAATGTTTGCGCACCTCGCTGACCATCTGTCCGTTTACATGATCCCAGATGCATTGATCCCAGTATCTGCCATTCCCCAAACCCTACAAGGTAAGATTGACAGAAGACGGCTAGCCAGCGATGGCTCAACACTCAGTGTTGATGACCTTGATGCATTTTCTCAGGATTTCGGTGCCGACGGCGATGTCGGTGAGCTCTCTGCAACCGAACAACAGATAGTTTCTGCACTGGCAGATACTTTGGGAATGCCACACGCTTCAATCGGCCGCTCGACCTCTTTCTTTGCTTTGGGCCTCGATTCTGTGTCTGCAATCCGTCTTGCGACCAAGCTGAGGACTGACTACCGATATGAGATTGATGTGTCTCAAATCCTCAAAAGGCCCACTATTGCCAGACTGGCTTCGCAGATACAGGATGCACGACTGGATAGCTCGAAGCAAATCAACGGACATACTGCGGCAGATTGTGAAGCAACTATTGGTCCTGATCTACACAAGGTTGTAATATCACAGCTACGTGAGCGCAATCAGACAGTACAACACGTTCTGCCGTGTACGCCTTTGCAGGAGGCGATGCTCTCCACAAAAGGCACACTCGAGACTTCAGCTTACAGGAACAAGACACTGTTCAGTCTGCAGGGCTCGGTTGACAAGCTGAAATCTTGCTGGGGAACTATGTTACACAGGCATAGTATCCTAAGGACAATTTTCCTCCCAACCGAAGATCCGAGATTCCCCTTCGTTCAGGCTGTCCTAGCGGAGTGGGACTTACCGTGGGAGGAGCACCATAGTCTTTCTAATCACTCTTCAGATTTGCTTGAATCTGTACAGACTGGTAATGATCCACTTTCCGAGAACACGCCACCTTGGAAGCTTCAAGTCTTTGGATCAGGGTCCACTATCTACCTCTTGCTCGACATGCATCACGCACTCTACGATGCTAACGCAATGTCCAGTCTTCTATACGAAGTCGAGCAGTTATATAAAGACCAACCACTCCCTGAACCAATCTCGTTCAAACCTTTTCTTGATCTCATGATCTCTGCGAGGGTTGAACAAGCAGATAGGTTATTCGGCAATCAGCTTCAAGACTTCATACCAAAGCCGTTTACCAAGACCGCGATGGGACAGTCAGAAGGCAGTTTTGGCATGATTAACGGAAAACTTGACTGCTCGCCCGACATGATTGAGAATTTCCTCGCAAGGCATTCGACGACCATGCTTAGTCTGGTTCAAGCAATGTGGGTGAAAACATTGTCTGCTTCTCAATCCTACTCAGACGTCTGCTTTGGCAACGTGGTCAGTGGACGTAGCGTGCCTATTGACGGCATTGAGTCTTTGGTTGCGCCATGTTTTAACACCATCCCCGTTCGTATCGACTTGTCAAGGCACCGAAGCAATCTAAGCCTTATAAAAGCTCTGCAAACGGTCAACATCGATAGTTTGCCGTATCAGCTTACACCTTTGCGCCGTATCCAGGCACAAGCTGCTACCAATGGGCAGCGTTTGTTCGATTCTCTTGTTCTTCTGCAGCAGAATTCTACAGACCTTGACCCAGCCATCTGGAAGTTGGAGCGTGAATCAGGATCCATGGATGTGAGTGTCATGGGTGTGATTTAGCATCGAACATGGGCTAACATGACATAGTTCCCTTGCATTGTCGAACTTACGCCCAACAGCGAATCATATACCCTTTCCTTGCATTTCAATCGGTGAGCTTAGACATATCCTCCCGCCCAGGGACGCCGACACTGACACAAACCANGGAGTTATCTTGACGATGAAGTTGTTGCAACCCTTCATCAAGCGTGTTTATCTGCATTTGCATCCTGCATAAGATACCCATCGAGCGATGTTTCTGATTTCATTGATTACGACAAGAATTTAGTAGCTGGCGTTCTGAAGCCGGACGAAAAATATATGCAGTCTGTTGAGACTGCTCAGCAAAGGCGACTAGAAACCCCTGGACCTTCTAGCGACGAATCCTGGTCGTCTCTTGAATTGCGAATTCGTGCGGCGTTCTCTGCGGTATCCGCTGCTCCTGAGGACCAAATTCGAAGGGACACCACAATCTACAGGCTTGGCTTGGACAGTATCAGCGCGATCCAACTTGCCAACCGACTTCGAAAAGACGGGATCCCAGTACAAGCTAGCGATATAATGGAGGGCCCATCATGCTCACAGTTGGCATCCGCTATGCAAACCCGCTCACAAACTCCTGTTCTGGACACGCCCGCATTTGACTTCGATACGTTCGACAAGCACTACCGTCAGTTTGCCTTGGACAGCCAACAAATTTCCACTGAGGAAGTGTCTGCGGTCCGACCTTGCACTCCTGTGCAGTCTGGCATGCTCAGTGAATACACATACTCTGATGGCCATCAGTATTTCAATCACACCTTCTACGCGGTCGAAACAACTCATGGTCCTGAGAAGTTCCGGCTCGCATGGTCACAAGTTCTCAAGCAACACGAGATACTGCGTACTGGATTCGTCGGTACTGATGATCCTGAGCATCCTTTCGTGATGTTGACCTACAACGAATTCAATGCCAATGAACTCGAGATCCGAATTTCGTCACAAGACGACTCGACGTTTGATTACTGCGAGCGAACGGCTTTAGAGTCTGTCAGAGATAGTCTTCATCTACCTCCCTGGAGATGGTCTTCACTCGAAGTCCAGGGCACACAATACTTGCAATTATCTGCACACCATGCCATCTTCGATGCAGAGAGTTTACGCATGGTCATGTCCGATCTGCAATCCGCTCTCTCTAGTGGCTATGTCGCCGCAAGACGATCAATCGACAGCGCTTTGAGTCACATTCTTTCGAGCAGCCAAGCCGATCTGGAAGCGCAACGCACTTTCTGGTCACAAAGACTTGGTGGTGCTTCAGTAACCCGCTTCCCCAACTTGGCACCGACTAGAACCGAAAGCACTGGTACGGTCAACGTTGAGCTGGTCCTTGGGTTCCAGCGGAGCGAGCTAGAGGCTCGTTGTCAAGAACTCGGTGTGTCAATGCAATCAGTCGGCCAGGCAGCTTGGACCCGACTATTGAGCGCATACACTGGAGAGTCGCAGGTGACTTTCGGTGTGGTCTTTTCTGGCCGTACGAGTCCCGCAACAGCCGATACTGCTTTCCCCTGTATTACAACACTTCCAGTTTCGAGCAATGCTGTAGTGGATGATGCTCAGCTCCTCCAAGATTTGATGTCCCACAATGCCAGCGTTCAGAAGTATCAGTTTACGCCCTTGACAAACATTCAGAAGTACGCCGAACTGTCAAGTGAGGCATTGTTCGACTCCATCTTTGTGTACCAAAGACCACTGAACGAAAATGTTTCTACTTCTTCCTGGAAGATCGCGCGCGAGAGTGCTTCAGTCGAGCTTGCTGTCTCTGTTGAGATGGAAGCACTCAGTGACAACCGACTTGGTCTTCGATTAACGGTTAACCCTGCTCAGGTACCCTACGAGCAAGGCATGATCGTGTTGCAGCAGATGGAAGCCATCATTACCGGGCTCCTCAAATTAAAAGGGACACCTGATAGATCGGTTCTATCTATCATCCCACCAAAAGATCCCATCATCCCAACTGACTTTCAGTATCTGCACGAAATGACCGAGGCGTCTGTCAAGCACTATTCAGACCGTGTCGCGATGGAATTCGTAGACAGTCTGGAAGACGGACAAATCACGAGTCGACACTGGACTTTCCGCCAGCTTGACGAAGAAGCGAACAAGATAGCACATCTCCTGATCGATCGTGGTGCAAAGCCTGGCGACATCATCGCAACTTCATTTGACAAGTGTCCAGAGGCATCATTCGCGTTCTACGGTATCCTCAAGGCGGGTTGTGCCTTCTGCGCTATTGACCCTACGGCACCAGCAGCCCGCAAAGCTTTCATCCTACAGGACTCTAGTGCTCGAGTTCTACTGACATCTGATTCGATTTGCGCAGAGTTGAAAGAGTTGACTCATTGTGATGTGGTTGACCTGATCAACTTGGAAGAAAGACGTTCGTTGTCGAGTTCTTCGGTTTTGGTAATGGGATTGTCTCCTTCTTCTGTCAGCTATGTCTTGTACACTTCGGGAACTACGGGTACGCCAAAGGGATGTGAGATTACTCATGACAACGCTGTTCAGTTAATCATGTCCTTCAAGCGCCTATTCAAGGGAAGATGGACAGACAAATCCCGCTGGCTTCAATTCGCCTCGTACCATTTCGACGTTTCGGTCCTGGAGCAGTTTTGGACCTGGACCGTCGGCATGCGTCTTGTTTGTGCTCCTCGCGATCTCATCTTGGAAGATATTGCGGGCTTCCTCGATACCATGCAGATCACTCACCTTGATCTCACGCCATCTCTTGGCAGGCTTCTTGATCCTGCTTTGGTGCCCAGTTTGCACCAAGGTGTGTTTATTACTGGTGGAGAGTCGCTCAAACAAGACCAAATCAACACCTGGGGAGATGTCGGCTGTCTATTCAATTTCTACGGGCCTACAGAATGCACAATCGGTGTGACTGTCTTTCCTAGTGTGCCAAGAGAGGGCAAGCCTTCCAACATTGGCTGGCAGTTTGACAATGTTGGCTGCTACGTTTTGGCCCCTGGGTCTCAGACCCCCGTATTACGTGGTGCCGTCGGTGAGCTCTGCATATCCGGAAAGCTTGTAGGCAAGGGCTATATCAACCGCCCTGAGCTTACTGCAGATTGCTTCCCACATCTTGATGCCTTTGGCGAGCGAGTCTATCGCACAGGCGACCTGGTCCGTCTTTTCCACGACGGATCAATTGATTTCCTAGGCCGAAAAGACAATCAAGTCAAGCTCAGAGGGCAAAGACTTGAGATTGATGAGATTGAAGCGGTGATGAAGCGCTGTCAAGGTATTCAAGACACTGTCTGCGTTGTCGCCAAACACCCCAAACAACAANAAGATCAACTTATCGCTTTCATCGGCATCGATGAGTCCAGGAAACAAGGCAAACCTGAGTTGTGCCCAGCCGAGTCAACCAAACATCTCATCCAAAAAGCGCGTGCAGCATGCGAAGAAAGCTTGCCTGGTTATATGGTGCCTACACACTTCTTGCCAATTCAGCGTATCCCCTTGTCCGTGAATAACAAAGTGGAAGAGAAGCTACTCCGTCAACTATATGCTGATTTGCCCACTACTACCATCCAAAGCTATGCCACGCAAGCAGACGGTCAACAGTCTCTCAGCGAAGGCGAGAGGAGGATTGCTCAAGTCCTCGCTGAACTACTCAATATTGATGTGGACGACCTCAAACCTTCATCTAATATCTTCACTCTTGGACTCAACTCCATCTCAGCCATCCAGTTCTCTAGAAAGCTCAAGAAAAGTGGCTTCCTTAGCGCACAAGTGGCGACTGTGCTCAAGAGCTCAACTATCGGCAAATTGACCAAAGCACTCGCTGTATCGACAGATCGATCGGATGGTGAGATCGCCGATGCTAAACAAATCATTTCTGCCTGTCAACAAAGGCATATGGGCACAATCACTCGTGTCCTTCGCTGTAAAGCGGAAGACATCGAAGCTATTGCACCGTGTACGCCCTTACAGCAAGGTATGATCTCGAGGTCTCTGGCAAGCGAGTCTTCGCTTTACTTCAACAGCTTCAAATACAATGCCCAAGGAGTAGATTTGCAAAGATTGGAGATGGCCTTCAATCAGGCTCTGGAACGAACGCAAATCTTGCGTACCTTCTTCGTCGAAACTGATGACGGTTATGTACAGGCTGTGAGAAAGACAGGCCATCTTCCATGGTGGACACTCGAAGTCTATGATCTTGCATCCGTGGACAGCGTCTTTGCCAAACGCAAACAGAAATGGCGCTCCTACAACACTTCTCATTTGACTGTTCCCTTCGAGGTTGTGGCTGTTCGTTCTGGCTCAGAGAATTTTGTGTCTATCGACCTGCATCATGCACTTTACGATGGCAACTCTTTTGACATGTTGATGGGCAATGTCTGCAAGCTCTACGCCTCCGAAGACGCTGACTTCGGCAGATCTTTCGTCGACTGCCTACCCTTTGGTCCTTTACGCAATGTGCAGGGTGCGAAACAGTTCTGGCTAGACCATCTTCGAGACGTCGAACCTGCACCCATGCCTCGACTTGTTGAACATGCAACGACTCAGGACATCCTTTATACAGTCAGCCTGGACATTCTGTCTCAAGCAGATGAGCTTCGACGTTCTCTTGGTGTGACCATCCAAGCTTTGGTCCAGGCAAGCTGGATTGTTACTCTGCGGAAATACTATCAAGGTGCCATCGGTACAGTCGTCTCTGGACGCTCGATCGATTTTGATGGCGTAGAGAAGGTGATCGGGCCTTTGTTCAACACTATTCCCTTCTACTTGAGATGTGAGCCAGGAGATTCATGGCGGGCTCTTGTTCAAAGATGTCACGACTTCAACACAACAGCCCTGCCCTATCAACACACGCCCCTTCGCGATATCTTGAAGTGGTGTAACAAGGGAAACTCGGACCCGCTTTTCGATGCATTGTTCGTATATCAAGGCACTCTCGATGACCACAGCACCGGCACCCCAATTCTCAAGCCTCTGGCAGATAGCTGTTTCGAGGCAGACTACCCGCTCTCATTTGAAGCGGAAGAAGCAGCAAACGGAGAGCTGAAGGTCACTGTGGCTGCCAAGGCCTCGATTTGCGATGAGGTGAAAGCTCGAAAGTTGATTGATGAGTTTCACCAAGCCTTCTTGGCGATGACCAACTCACCTGAGAACGATGTTGGTGTGAGCGTTGGCCATACCTTCGAAAGGCTTGCCAGAAGTGCAAATGCCAACAGCCAAAAAGACCAAAGCAAAGATGCAAACGACTTTGAATGGCGCACCGAAGCTTCTGCCATACGTTCAGAGATGGCAGCCCTTGCCGGTGTGCAGGAAGCTGAGATTGATCAAAACACTTCCATATTCGAGGTTGGCTTGGACAGTGTAGATGCTGTAAAGCTCTCGTCGCGTCTCAAGAAGAAGAACATTGCTCTGCCTATGAGCACTATCATGCGAGCACAGACGATCGCTCATATGGTTTCAACATTGGTGAACGGCAAGATCGAAACATTGAAGACGAAGCCAGATGGAGCTTTCCAATCCCTCGAGAGCAAGCTTGCCTCCTATGCACAAAGCCGAGTGGAAGACACTGGTTCTGTTGAACGTGTTCTACCAGCCAGTCCCATGCAGGAGGCTTTGGTCTCAGAAATGGTCCGTTCGTCGTACAAAGCCTACTTCAACCACGATATCCTAAAGTTATCTGGGAGCGTTGATCATCAGAAGCTTCAGCAGGCATGGCAAACAGTCATCGAGGCTTCTCCCATTCTTCGCACCGGTTTCCTCGAGATTGAAGATCCGGACTTGAATGCTACCTTTGCTCAAGTTGTACAGGTGCCTGGCACTATGAAGATGGAGTCAATCGAGCTGCCGAGTGAAGATGCCATAAATGAGCATCTCGCACACATCAGCTCCGGCGTAGCATCAGCCGCTCCATTCAAGCCTCAATTGCGATTGACCTGGGTGTCCACGCCCGGTGAGAACTATCTTGTGTTCTCGATTGCTCATGCTCTCTACGATGGTCACAGTATTTCACTGCTTCATCAAGACGTCCTTAGGGCTTACAACAATGCCTTTGAGACTCGCCCGTGCTATGATGAGATTCTGAAAGACACTTTCTATGGTAGTAACGAGGAGGCTATCATATTCTGGCGCAGCCTTTTGACCGACGCGAGAAAGACCCAGCTTCCAGAGACTAGAAACATCAACGATTCAGGAATAACAACTCATCGTGCAGAGAGGACGAGTTATCTAGCCGCTAACAATCTTTTGTCGTTCTGCAAGCAGCATGGGGTCACCTTACAAGCCGTCTGTCAAACAGCTTGGGCCTTTGTCCTCGCTCACACCGTGCAAGCCCTTGATGTTATGTTTGGGGTTGTCTTGGCTGGTCGTGACAGCGAACTCGCCGAGGAAGTCATGTTTCCTATGATGAACACAGTCATCATGCGTTCTGTCCTGCATGGATCTAGGAAAGACGTGCTACAAAGCATACAAGCGATCATATCTGACATTTCCAACCATCAGCACTTCCCGCTGCGTCAGATCCAGGCTGTATGTCAGGGACAAGTCCGATCATCGACAACCACACGCCAGGACGAGACTTTCTTCGACACGCTCTTCACCTTCCAGCGCCGACCAGACGTTGGCGAGGTTGAGGACCAAAAACTTTACGATTCTGTCAATGGAGCCTCTGAGGTTGAGTATCCCGTAGCTGTTGAGGCTGAGATCGTCAATGGCTCATTGATCTGGCGTACAGCTTGCAAAAGCAGTACTTTTGATGAGGATGGTGCGAACAACCTCCTCGGCACTCTTGATGGTGTCTTACAAGCAATTTTCGACCAGCCGCATGAGCCGACACTGACATTCCATGGTGAAGGAGTCAGTGTCTGTGGCCTGCCTGCTTTCCAGCAGCCGGCAGAAGCTGGTACAACCTGGGAAGTAGAGGTCGACAACGACGTGATCGAGGATGAAGACAACTGGTCCGATATCGAGTCAGCGGTACGAGATACCATTGCAAAGATTACCAAGACGCCAGAATCAGAGATTTCGAAAACTGCGTCCATCCAAAATTTGGGTGTCGATTCAATCAACGCTATCAAGCTCTCGGCTTTGCTACGTCGAAAGACCATCAGAATTACTGTTAGCGAGATTATGCGCGCTGGATCAGTTTCGAAGATTGCATCAGTGGCACAAAACAAGACGACAAAGAAGACGACCAAGGCTGATGGTGACACTGCTGATAAGGTTATCGCTAAGCTCATGGCACAGAAAGGTTTCACGCCTGAAAGACTTGGCTACGAGAATCAACAAATCGACCAAATTCTGCCTGCAACTGCTGGTCAAGTCTACATGTTAGGTGCATGGCTTGCAACTGATTGCCAACTCTTTTATGGAGAATTCGAATACTGTACCACTATACCGACCACTATGGACAGTATCAAGCAATCATGGCACAAACTGGTCGCCAGCAATGCAGTGTTGCGCACAGTCTTTGTTGCGACTCAAGACAGCGAGACACCTTTCTTGCAACTCGTGTTGCGGGATACTCCTGCTTCGTTCGTGGATTTGGATAATGCAGAGCAGCTGTCGACAACTATCAAGCAGCCGTTTGCCCATCTGACAGTGCAGAAGGCAGACGATGGTTACAAGCTTCGTCTCAAGATTCATCACGCACTTTACGACGCTGTAAGTCTGTCATTGATGAGTCAACAGCTGGCTACTTATCTGCAAGGCTCTGCCGCGACACAGCAATCTCCTGTCAGATTCACCGACTTCATTGCTCAACCTCTGAGCACCATTGAGGCGAATGGGAGAAAATCTTTCTGGGTTGACTACCTTCAAGCCGCGCAATACTCCCAGTTAGAGTCTGGTGCTTCAAAATTAGCCCGCCACATCGAAGTCTACGATCCTTGCGCCATGTCCGATATGTCCAAGTTTGAGAACGGACTTAGAAAGCAGGGACTCAGCCTCCAGTCTGTCTTCTTTGCAGCCTACGCCAGAGCGTACAGCTATAACTCCGATCCAACAGCCGAGGACGTGATAATAGGCATTTACTTGGCCAATCGCTCACATTTGGAAGATCTGTCCAGCCTAGCAGCACCAACACTAAACCTCGTTCCTCTACGCGTGCGCTCTCCCACAAGGACATCTCTTGCCGAGCTCGCGAAACAGATCCAGAAGGATCTGCAGCTCATCGGTACGCCTGAAAATAGCAGTGTCGGACTGTGGGAGATCGAGGCATGGACAGGGATCACCGTGGACACCTTTGTCAACTTTGTAAAGGTGCCAGAAAACGACGACGACGCCGCCAGGAAGCAAGTCATTGTGATGGACGAAGCGGCAGAAAAGCATCGCACTGAAAAGCGAAGTCAGGGGTCTGATCTCATGGGAGATGACTTTGTCGTGCCACAAGAGCTGCAGCATGAAGACTTGAAGAAAACTTACAAGGTAAGCAACCATTTCCAATCAGAGTTTCTGGGACTGCGTACTGACTTCTTGCAGCGATCACTCGATATCGAAGCAACCGTCGCTGATGGTGAGCTCGGCATTGGTGTATTTGGATGGGAAGACATGATGGATGTAGAGCAAGCTGAGGGCCTGATAGAAGAGCTGAAGATTGAGATTGCAGGAGTGCTTGAATCGTGAAAAGCAAAGTAGAAGGCGGTGGAGAAAGCAGATTGTACATAGAGGAGAAGCATGAGCAAAACGGATGGGCTGGCGTTGGTTAATTTTTGGTCTTTTTTAAGCTAGTTGTTTATCGCGTTCCTGTGGAATTATTGTTTTTGAGTCAACTTGCAAACACAGCGGTCGTAACGTTGTGAGGGTGCTGAGGAAGGTGCGGATTGCTGGCTACTGCCTTCGTGAAGCATCATGACAACGGACCATCGCCACTTTCTCGACGCCGTATGCAACACAACAAAGCTCTGCCCATCATCCACCTCAACACTCTTCTCGTCGTGTTCATCATCGTCGCCATCATCAGACTAGCGAAGGCCTCAGCGTTGTTGAAATCACGCGGCGCATCGCTTTACTCTGCTATCCTTACGGGGATCAGAGACCCAAATGGCCTTCGCATTAGCATCGCTCGTCTGAAGCCTTTGGGCTGATGTTCAAGTCTGCTTTTACGTCGTGAGTCATGGGGTGCAACGTGAAGAAGCGGGTTGCTCGACCTGTCGGACGGACAAACGTTTGAGATGGTGGGTGTGTTGCTGGTGATGGTGGGAGATGAGAGAGGTACGTATCGAGCTCGAGTCGTGTTGGTGATTCGTGACTGATTATTTGTTGCCAGGACCGTAATCCATCGTTCCAGTCGTTCTAAGCTCCCTTACTGATCGTATCCTCCTCAAGCAAGCGGATGCTACCTGTCGCAATATCGGGTCTGCCCTCCACCTTCATCCTGAGCCACTTTTCCCGGAACTGTCTGCCTAGTGTTACCATTTCACTGTCACTGCTTCGACTTGCGGTTCCTTTGTCGTTCCTTCGACTCCTTCGATGGTCGTCTCTTTTCCTGTCTTTGGCTCCTTGACTAGATGCGGGTTTTTCTCCCGGAGGTCTGCGACAAAATCCCAGGCTCCTAAAGATGCAATGCAATGCCTGATAGGCTGGATTCTTCCGCATTTCTCACTCTTCTTCTCCCAATATTCGACCACCTGCACGCATCCGATCAGCTGCATGAGGGTTGCTGGCTCATACTTATGACCCAGGTCATGATGCTTCCTTGCGGCCCTGACATCCGTGTGATATTTCTCCCAGCAAGCTTCCATGACTTGCAAGCTTGTCTTGTTCTTGGTTTTGTGGGCGTACACATCTGCATAATGATAACACTGATATGCAATTTCTTGGATGCACATACTGGTTACTGGATCCCTTTTCGCAACCCTCTCGTCACAAGGCGAGGTTCCGAGTAAGATGGCCAGTTCAGGCATGCTGTCTATGATGTATGCGTCCAGAGCCGCTGGGAGAAAGAAGGTTGCTTCCCAGGGCAGAACAAAGCCATATCTGCTGTCGAGGATGGCCTTGGCGGTACTGACATATTGACCCAGGGCTGAAGTGAGGACAAATCCCACGGTAGAGGGTATCGGCAGGTTGTGACAGCGGATGCAAATCCACGCGACGAAAGCCTGGAAGATCAAGAGTCGCGTGTTGGTACGCAGAAAAAAGGTCGGGATTTTCATTGTCGCTGCTTTCCAGTGGTGCTGTCTCGTTGTTTTTCAAAAGGCACGTCGACAATGGTTGTGTCACGAACGGGGACACATGATAAAGGGATATTGAGACGTTGCTACATGATTTGATTGCAAACACTGGCGCCCGAGGGTGGCTTCGGGCTATTGAGAAGTGAGGGCGGGTTTGTGCGTGCTTGCGGCCGCAAAGTCAAGATGGAGGCTCTCTGTGCTTGTCTGCGGGAAGGATTCACACATGACCCTGAACTCGGGAATAACGGCATACCATTTTGATCAACAACTTTTAAGGTATATGTTCGACTGAAATCCCGCATTTGAAGCCAGACGACACACGAAGGCAAGAGACAAGTCAATGATATGCTCAAGAAGAGTTGGAGGACGAAGAATAGAGGTCATTAGCTTATTCAAGGTGCAAAGCGACCCTGTCCCAAGGTTCAAGCGTACCACTACTATCAACAATGCATTGACAGAACAGAATATAACTACACGAGAAGATGCGCATTCTAGACAAGACCGCACGGTAACGATGGTGGTGATCTGTCTTGCGCGAACCATGTCGTTAGCCGTGCGAAACACACATTCGTTCTCGCGTCTCACCCCAGTCAAGCAAAGGAATACAGCGAATGTTCGAAGGTAGCTGCAAATCACGTCGATATGCCCAACAACCATAACGAGGCAACCTTCCGCTTTCCCAAGGCAAGAAGTAGCTTCTATATAGCGCATACAGAGCTTCGGCAGGGAATTTTGTCGTCTTCCATCGAGAAAGATGGTTTAGAAGGGAAGATCAGGGTCACACGCTTTGCTAGCAGGACTTGGTCAGAATCGATCCGATATGTTTCCCATAAAGCGTGCCACGAAAGCCGTATGCGATATATATATATATATTTATATATGTATATAGAATATCTAAGAAGCTCTCCGAGAAATCGTTAAGCTTGCAAGACACAGTCAAGTGAATAATTGAAAAAATAATCAGAAAATAAAAGCTTTTATGTTTATCGTCAAGAAGGTGTTATGTTTATATACAAGTACAAGGATTTTCGTTCGACTTCTTTTTTCTCGTCAAGATGTGTGGAGGGTGTTGAAGGAGGGGGTCGTGTCTAGTAATACAAGAGTAGGGCCGTAAAGGGTAGCGTGGCTCGCGCCAGCGGAACCTACGATCCCTTGACAGGGAAAAGTGGTAAAAAGGGTCATAAGAAGGAGTGGGATGTGAAAATGCTTCCCAAAGCAGAAAAGGGCCAAAAATATTCTCTGGGTTCGGCCCAGCAAATCAAAATGCAAAGCGCTTTTCCGAGCTCAAACAAGATGGGAATGAAGAAGGCGATAAGGATACGAGATGTGTTGGGACGCGGGGGATGGCGCGTTTAGTAGGCGTCCAAGAGGCATTCGAGCTCATCAAGATCAATGTTCTCGGGGCTGCGGAAATCGTTCCACATGTCCATAGCATCATCATCCTGATCGTCCAGGGACATTGCATCGATGGAAAGTCTCTTCTCAACATTCCATTCCTGGGCTTGCTGCGTCTTGAGATCGTAGAAACCCTGAGGTCTCAGAACAGGACTGCTCAAATCGTAGAGGGTGCTCACGGAGGAAGAGAGGTGATCCTGACCATCAAAGAGGTCGTCGGTGGTCTGGGCGGTGTTGTCGTCCGACTCGACCGACATGGCAATGGTCTCAGTGGCCTCGACCTTGATGGGCTTGGTGATGACTTCCTGGCTTGCGCGACGAAGCTCTTGCAGGGCGTTTGCCGTCTGCTTAAAGTCGCGTTCCTCACGCTCGAGGGGAGGGCTATCGGCACGGCGGTTGTGGGCCAGGTTGGACGTGGTTGGAGGGTGGTCGCGCGAGAGCGAATGACGAGGGTGGAATGCGGAGCCAATATCGCCATGCGGTGGCTCGTCCAATTCGGGGCTAGACAGATCGACTTCAGGAGAGAGCGAGGCGCGTGACCTGCTGTATTTCTCGTCTTCGTCGTCGGCGGCCGATGAGAGAGCAGGGGTAATGATGCGACGGGCGGCGGGAATGTCGTGAGAATGCGAAAGTTCAGGAATAGGTTGGTGGGGTTGAGTGGTCAAAAAATAGTATAGCGGGCGGGGGTGGACTTGAGACTGGTACTTAGCCAGCGGACAAGGACTGACGGCGGGCCAGGTGCGGTTGAGGTAGCTGGTGAGACGCGACGAAATCAGGTTGGCAGGGTTGGCAGACNNCTATAGCGAAAGTCAGCGCGTTACACGGTCGCCGAAGGCTGCTTATGCTTACTTCTCCACGGCGCCTATGCAGTGGCACAAGACTGCAGCCAATTCCTTTACAAGATGCGGCCGGTTGGCAGTCTTTTCCAACTGCTTGATGGTTGCGACAACCACATCATCGCTGATGCCCTCGGTATCAATTGTGTGTACAGTCTGGGTTCCTGGTGATGGCGGAGGAGTGTGTTCGGCCAGTCGCGATGGCGGCTCTGTACGGATAGACAAAGTTTTTGTCTTTGGCGGGCTCATCAAGGCCGGAGGAGGGGACAGCGAGTCGTGCGACCTCTTGGGCTTCTTGGTGACGGGCTCGTCATCGATGACCGTGGCTGGCGGCGAGGGATGCGACTGCGAAGAAGCTCGCGAGCGTTTGGGGACGGTGATACCAAGCTCGGAGAGGGACAGCGACTTTCTTCTGGTGTTGTATGGCATGTTGGGTGGGGAGAATTGGGTCGGAGACAGAGTGTACACAAAAGTTGATTGTTTGGGCGCGTCGGCGTTTCTGTTTCCTTGAGCGTCGGCTGGGAAAATGTGGGCGAGCAAGCGGATTGGAAGCTTGGGCTGGGCGGTGATTGGTCGATTGGGGAATGGATAGTCAGCCTTGCTTATCGAGCGTGTGCTGTCCTAGAGTGGGCGTGGAAGAATGTTGGTGGATAGAGTCGTGTGCAGGTGGGTTGGAATGAGGATGGCTCGAATGATGATGGCGATTGTTGCTCAGTGAGGTGGTGGAGGATGGTTGGGATGCTGTGTCTCTTGGTGTTAGGGGTTCCAAAGCTCGGATGCTTTTGGCCAAGGGGGGCTCGGCTCGTCCTTTCCACCAGGCGGTTGCGTCGGCGGCGAACGGATGTGCGTGCTAGAAGCTTTGGCAGAGCTCTAGCCAGAAAAAAAGTTGTTTGCTCGTGTGCGGTTGCTAGGAAGCCTTAATGCTGCACAATTCTTCTGATAATTCTGCGACCAGAAAATGCTGTATCTTTGAAGTGCGAGGTATTGGAAAAATCAAGTTCAGGGGAGGAAACAGCAGTGCGGACGGTCGCTCGATCTTGTCACAGGCAGCAGCAAGGGACTTGGCGAATGCGTGACCCAAGCAAGAGAACGCACCTTCCACCGACCACCGCCGCAAAAGTCCACACCACACTCCGACCATCTCTCGGCCGCTACGTCCAGAAGCACCAACGTTATTTTTCTCCACTCAGCCCATCGTTGCTATCGGACTGTGTTTCATTTG